CAAAGCATACAAAGTGCATATCCGAACTCATAACATGTTAAACGTTTTTTTATATGTTCGATTAAAAAGAGACAATTTTTTTGGTTAATATTATTGTTGTTTATATACTTATTTCCTTTCATAGAAGAAGACCACCGTTATTTCTTTTTTTTTTCATTATTCATCTTTATTGTTTTCTCTTCCAATATCATCCTCCTGATCTTCCCTTTTCTCATGTGGTGCATATGTTTGCATGGCATGATTGTGTGCATTTAATGTTGGATTTCTAGCATATGTTTCTTGTTGACTAAGTTCATTCTTCACTTATATGAGTGTTTGTTGTGCTTATAAGTTGGAGAAGAGCTTGTGAAGGATTGTCAACAAATGCTTTAAATTATTTTTCACACCCTACCAAATATAATTGACACTTAGATTTTTTTTTTTTTGGGATAACCACTCTTCAGATGTAATTAGTCCCTGTTTGATAAACCAGTTAAGCACTTAAACTTATTAATTAAGTACTTAATTGATTAGCACTGTTTGATAACACACTATCATAACAACTTAATTACTTAAGAACTTAATTTATTGAGGACTTAAATTTTAAGTGTGTTTGATAACTCAAAGTAGGATGTCATAATAAATTAAGTAGGTCTGAAATACTAGTACAAATGTGAGCCTAAAAATAAGTGATAAGCCTATCACTTATGTCTGAACTGAATTCTTGAGACGATTTTTTTCTATTTATTTATTTTTATGTTTCTACTTTTGATATTTTATCTTGAAATATTTTTATTAATCATGATGTCTAGTTCTAAATTAAAATTTATGTAAATTATTTTTTATTTAATAAATATTTATTTTTATATAAAAGTAAAATCCATTAAATTCCATGATCAATATATCTTTACCATAAAATATGAATTTTTTTACAATGATAAAATATGACATTATTATTAACTGAAAAAATAATAACATAATAAAATTTAAATATTTTTATTACATTATTTAATATTAATATTATTATTTGTGTTATCATAGTTTCATATACATCAATTATTTTTTTAGATAAAATTATAAATCAAGATACTTTAAATTTCAGTGTTCAGACTTCAGATTTCAGACATTTTATTCAATGTTTAGATTCTGTTTTTTATCAAACACAACAAACTTAATTAATTCAGTACTTATGATTCAGTTTTCATATTTCAGACTTCAGACCCAAATTAAGTTTTATCAAACGGGCCCTTAGTTTTGACACAAGCATTCCTTTACCTTTTCTTATCAAAACGAGTTCCTTCAATGAGAATGAAAAATTCTTGCTGCTTTGGCCATTCACTAATGCAATGGACTTAGAGATACTATTAAAATTTATATTTGCTATTAAAAATTTTTAAATTCCTATATACAAATGTGTCAAATCCATTACAAGTATCAAGGGTGAACAAGTTGTAGGTTCTGGGGAGTGGCCCATGATGATGGTTCCCAACCCGCTATAGCCTCTTCTCCCGTGGAGGCTTCCTAGTCCATCTACACGGCGTTTTAGCCCCCTTCCCCCATTATTGTTGTACACATGACGACTAACTTCTAGAGTTTCGAGACATCCATTATATCCTCTTGGTTATTTACAATTTGATCACCATTTGGCGAGGGAGGTTGAAGATTACGGCTGGTGAGAGATAGAGAAAGAATGCCAAAGAAAACTTTCCGCTTCATTTTCATTAGAAATTAGAACTTATTCTACATGTTTCATTTTATACTAGGGCGACATGTATTCCTCGCTTACGTGGAGTAGGGATCATGCCTAGTGCTGTTAAAATGCATAATGAGATCACGTCTAGACTTTTTCATTGTGTGATTAGAATTATTTTACTCTATTCTTATTCGGGTAGATATGTTAAGGTGAATATTAGTTAGAATATCTATGTTATTGAATTTTATATTAAAAAGTTGAACTATAATTGCATATTTCTTATAAATTATAAAAATTGAAGGGATGTAGATGATGTTTATTTGAAAAAACTTGATTAATAAGAGTTGTAATTTAGTACATACAATGTGTTGAACACAATTGTAGCAAATATCATGCAAATTATTAATTTAAGGTAATAATAAAAAACATACAAACATTATGAGGTTTGGTAACACACAAAATGCAGTTATATTACTATTTAATGAGGTCGAGGATCTCTTTGTAAACAATGTTGTGAGTCTTGTTGCCGTCTTCTTGTCTGAAGTAGGAGGCATGATGAGCACCTTCACAATCTTTGACATCTTTGCTATGGTTTTTGTTTTTTTTGTTTTTTTTGTTTTTTGGTACTAGATGAAATTGTTAAAATAGGCAAAGGGTGTCATTCAGTGAATACTGTTTGATAAACCAATTCAGCACTTAAACTTAATTGATTAAGTACTTAATTGATTGGCACTGTTTGATAACACAATTTTATTACAATTTAATTGATTAAGAACTTAGCTAATTAAGGACTTAAATTTTAAATACGTTTGATAACTCAAATTAGGATGTCTTAATAAATTAAGTGAGTTTGAAATGCTAGTACAAATGTGGGTCTAAAAATAAGTGATAGGCCTATCATTTATGTCTGAACTGAATTCCTGAGATTATTATTTTTTATTTATTTACTTTTATGTTTATACTTTTGATGTTTTATCATGAAATATTTTTATTAATCTTGGTGTTTAGTTATAAATTGAAATTTATTTAAATTATTTTTATTTAAAATATTTACTTTAATATAAAAAAATGAAATACAAATAAAGTCCATTATAAATATATATATTTATCATAAAGATGTGATTTTTTTTGACAATGATAAAGATACGATATTATTATTAACTGAATAAATAATTACATAATAAAATTTAAATATTTTTATCACATAGTTTTATAATAATATTATTATCTTTATAATAATAGTTTCATATATATATATAAATATATATCAATTATTTTTAAGATAAAATTATAAGTCGAGATATTTTAATTTTAGTGTTCAAACTTCAGATTTCAGATATTTTGTTCAGTCTTCAGATTTTGATTTTTATCAAACAAGACAAACTTAATCAGTTCAGTACTTATGATTCAGTCTTCAGATTTCAGACCCAAATTAATTTTTATAAAAAATCTAATGGTTTTATGTATTTAGAAAAGTTGCAAAGTTGTTTTGGCAATCCTGAGATTAGATTGTCCCAAAATAAAAAAACTCATAGATTAAAGCAAGAGAATTTGCGAGGAATGCCCAGAAACCACAATTAAAAATACGTTTTGGATCAAAAAATTAAGAAACAAGGAATAAATAATCACTTTTCTGAACCATCATTATACATTTAATAATGACTGGAATTAGGGAATACACAAATTAAAATCCCTTCAAATTATAGAGTATACATGGTCGAGAGATTTTTTTTTTCGAACAATCATTATCATGCATTTAATAATAATCAAAATTAGGAAATATACTAATCACGCCCGATATGATTTGACATATTCTATTTATTATTTAAACTCATCTTTTCTCCATTCACTGTTTCTTTATTAAAATTATTATAGATTCGATATTCACACTTTCATGTCTCATAATATTCATTTAAATGTTTACTATTTCCTTTTTTGGTGCATTTTTAACTTTGTTTAAGATTCTTTTGTGATGGAATTATGAGCATGAAAATTGATTTGTGTCTCATAATATTTGTTCAAATACTTACCATTTTATTTTTGATTCATATAACTTTGTTTTAAAACTTTTCATGATGATATTATGAACATGAAAATTAAGTCGTGTCTCATATTATTCATTCAAATACTTATTATTTTAATTTTGATCCATATAATTTTGTTTAAGAATTTTTTTATGATGGCATCATTATAAAGTTACATTTACCCAAGCAAGCTTGGGCATACAACTAGTAAATATTATAGAAAGTTGAGTTTTATGTGGGCCATACTCGTTGGCTCATTAATTTTCTTTTTATAAAAGAAAGAAATAAGAATAAACATATTTATAATACTTTTACAATGTAAACGTCTACATTGTATGTAGTACGTGGTATATATATACGATAATTTTCTTTTTAAAAGTAAATTAAAAGTAAATTAAAAATAAACTTGCACACATATACACACACATAAATATATATATACGTAAAAATTCTAGAATCTTGTTGCTCTATTTCGACTGAACCGTCCTATTACTTTATTAGTTTGTCACTTCGTGCATACCCTTCACAATTAGGGTGAGAAATTTATTAGTGCCATAAATTCAAAAGAAGATTAAAGTTAATTTTAGAGTGACCCTATTACAAAGTAATTACTCCCTCCGTCCCCTAATTATTGTCCACTTTACTAAAATGAAAGATTTTATTTTTGGTCAAACTTAACTATATTTTACCTTAAACAACCAGATATAAACCTACATAAGTAATTATTTAACCACTAAGATTTTATGGATAATGTTTTTTACTAAGGACAAATGTGTAACTTGATCCATAAAAAGTCAAATTGGACAATAATTTTGGGACAAAATTTTTTGGGCAAAGTGAACAATAATTATGGGACGGAGGGAGTATACAACAAGGATTTTTGTCATATTGCAAGTAGAAACCCATGAGTATGTGATCACATGAACTTTTATCTAGCTACTAGTAAGAGAGGAAATTACCAATTTGGAAAGTAAATTGTTTTAGATAACTTAAGCTAATTGGACGTCACAAGATAGCGAATCTTATGTGGTTATTACAATTATTTTTTGATTAATTCAGATGAATGACGTACAAATTGTTCAAGAACACGTTTAATTGCAAAAATTAATTTCTTGAAATAATTCGTTCGAGTTGGCCCAAAGAAATTTTATCACCACAAGAGTAAGTTAGGAATCTAGTACTATTACAACATTACATTACGTCGAAACCTTTCAATATATTATGATGATGACGTAACCCAAAAAGAATTTGTGAGATATATATACAGACATATTCGCAACTGGAAAATCTTATGACCATATTTATTTTTCTCTAACCAAAAAAAAAGAAAAGAAAAAGAAATACAAAATGAGACGAACAGCTAAAATTACGTAAGAACCCCTCGAGGGGTTTAGCTTTTAGCAGCCAAGGCTTACCTCTTTCTCCGTGTTGTTTCTGCCGAGTAGGGTTGCAGTAGATAAACGCCACCGCACAACTCCAACCTCAGTATCACTCACATTGCCGTTACTCTCACCGGCCGGTGACCTCATACGGCGTCGTCACCGGTTAAAATATTCATTCCTCTTCAAGTAATCATCTCCTCAATAAGAGACTTCTCCATTAGTTCGACAGTATGGGCGGTTCGCTGCCTCCGAAGGAGGCAAACCTTTTCAAACAGATTGTTGTAAGTCTCCGATTACGTTTCCGCAGCTCAATTTACTCAATATCGTTTTCAACGAAGAATTTCGATGATGCTTCTGTCTAAAACCCTAGTTTGTTGGTTTTTCCAAATACTTGTTTGACTATTGGATACTTTTTCGATTGTGTTTGCGGAGAGGAGCTTCCGTAGCTACTTCGTCTTTGGATTTATTGTTATTCTCAAATGCAGAGCTGATGAACTTGCTTGAATTATAGATCTTATCTCGAGCTGCATTTGCGGTTTGATAATCAGTGACTTCTTTTTGACTTGTAACTTTGAGCTTTTAAGCTAAAAGAATCAGTGATTATGTTTAATTGGATTCTAAGTCTTTTAAGTTTACATTGTATGATGCGTTTGTAAATGCTATTAATCTGTGTCTCTTCTCTGTTATTTGTTGAAATTTTATGCTATCACAATGATCTAAAGATTCTGTTTAAAACTTGTATTATCGCTAGTTGAATCTGCTCTTTGATTCACTTCCTGATTCTATTGCCCCCAATGATGTTTGTGGGAGCATTTTTTCCGTGGAAATAACTCTGCCAGCATTCGGTTCTGAATCTCATGCACGTTATTTTTCCATTTTATTTTCCTTAAGTTTGCAGTCTTGCAGAGTCTCTTTTATGGCTTTCAAAGTTGTTGGAATCATGACTTTCATTTGCTCATGAGACTTTGATGTAATAATATGCTAGTTGACTCCATCTATTAGTGACTCTTAATGCGAATCTTGAATTATACTAAATGATATTGAAGACGGACAGTAGAAGATGTAGGCTACCATTGGTATGCGGAAAAATACATTAAGCTTGGTAATAAATAGTTTAATTCCAAACTTATGGTTAGTTTTCAATTCAACAGTAAATCGTGCCACTATACAAAACATTGGTTGGATGGAGATGTAGTTTACTACTTTTTATTGGCATGCTTTGAGTACATACTAAAATGTTGTATTTTTTAGTTTCCCTGCAAAATGTGCATAGGGAAACTAATGTTGGATAAAGGATATATCCTATGTAGTTGTTAATAATTCAAATATACTTGAATGAGGATGCATAGCCTTCTCTTTTCGTCCCTTTTTGTTGGTCTTTTGCGAATACACTCGTGGATTTTTGGTTATTAAGTTCGCATGGTAGCTTTCTAGGCTCTCTGTCACAACTGATCTTTGACTTTTTATTCCACTACTATTACAGAAATCATACGAATCAAAGCAGTATAAAAAGGGAGTGAAAGCTGCAGACACGATATTGAAGAAGTTTCCTAATCATGGAGGTATGCACAGTGTTTCTGTACCCCTTTCTTTTCTTCCCTTCTTTTAGGCTCAAAATAGTAACATAAATTGGCATGGGTTAGCTGTTTGTATTTTTTAACTGGTGAAACCTCCCTAGCAGACACACTCACCATGCACACATACATTCTCTAGCATCACCCGAAAGGGAAAAAGAAGATAATGGGTGGTTTACTTTCTTCATGCCGTATATCTGCCTTACAATAGTTGCTCTCGCCAATTTTGTTGTTTTCCTGATCTTGAACATTTGACTTTGAACACGTTTTGCGGGGTACGGACATTTGATGTATATGAAGTAAATAGTTGAAACTTGTAATTTTCTGTAAGCTGAAGATGTACCAGAATAGAAACTTTTTGTTAGAGCTAAATCTTCCCCATATATCCTGGCACCACTATTTGCTTTTGATTCCCCCCCCCCTTCTGTGCTATTGTGACCTTTTTGTCTGGTCTTTATCAGAAACCCTTGCGATGAAAGGACTGTCACTGAACTGCATGGACCGCAAAACAGAAGCCTATGACCTTGTTCGGCTAGGTTTGAAGGTTGCATGTGCATTCCTTAAATTTTCAGGCAAATTGTCAGATGCATGCTTTGTCTTTTTGTTTGGTAATGTTCTCTGAGGTAGCCTTTTTTTTTATTTTCTTTTACCTTGCAGAATGACCTTAAGAGTCATGTTTGTTGGCATGTTTATGGTCTTCTGTACCGGTCTGACCGAGAATATAGAGAAGCAATTAAGTGCTACCGCAATGCCCTCAGGATTGACCCTGACAACCTTGAAATACTAAGGGACCTGTCTCTTTTACAGGTAGAAGTGATCAACATGCTTGCTGTGTTTTTCACATTTTTTTTTGTAACTTATTCCAAATTGGTATTTTGCCTGTATTCTTTTTCCCTTTTGTTATGGTTTCTAAAAGTTTACTCTTCTTTTTAGGCGCAAATGCGTGACTTGGATGGTTTCGTTGAGACAAGACAACAACTGCTCACCTTGAAGCCAAATCATCGCATGAACTGGATAGGCTTTGCTGTTGCCCAACATTTAAACTCGAAGTATGCTCAGTTTTTAAAATTTGGCTGTACTAATTCGTTTATTGATATTCTGACTTGAAAAAGAATAATTAATTTTTTTTTTGTCTGTATTTACTCTGTGCATTGAGAACTTTACCCACTGTTACTTGCCTTATGATGCTTTGCTGTTATCACGTCCGCACTACTGATGAGTTTTTCAGAACCTAGCATGTAATTTTGCTGTGTATAATGCAAGTTAGATGGTCCATCATCATGTAATTTTTCATCTGTGACCTTTTTTTCTGGTTATCTTATGTCTTTTGTTTTGGATCCAGACTTATGGAAAATTCTTTATTTAATTATTTCTGTTAATCCTAGTATTTTACTAAAAATGTTTGTACATGATGCCTTGAAACTTTATCAGGCTAAATCTACCCTTTTCTTGTGTTGAAGTTGTTGCATATAATTGAATTCTCTAGCTTTTGACTTGCACAAGGTCATTGTAGTTTTGACGCTAGGTCAAGTAGGTGCCTTTCGTGTCCAAAGATTCCCTGGCAATGGAGCCTGTATGAATGTTACAACGAGATACTTGAACCTCTGGAATACCTATTTAAGTACCAGCGTGTTTTTAACCCAGATACTGCTCGTGTAGATTGCTGAATGTCTTGCTGTTTGTACTTACTATTTATGGATTATATGACATGAAGTTTTATGTGGCTACTTTGATTATTGTTTTATGTGGCTACTTTGATTATTCATCCGTCTTAGTTTGGGATGTGATTCTTTGGCTGTAATGTCTACCCTAGGGAGTTCTGCTCTAAATATTTGTGGAAGTTTGTCTTGGGCTCAATTGCTCAAATCATGTTGAACTGGTGGGAATCTTGTGATGCAAAGTTTTTTCCGATCTAAAAGCTCTTTTGTTAATGCAATGGAGCTGGATTTTAGAATCTTTTAAGTTAGTCAGGACTACTTTGACATCTCCTGACATTTATTAATGTGGAGATGTAATTGTACATATAATCTTGTTGGAGCCGTCTATTTCTTTCAATTTCTGAAGTAGCTGCTGCTTGTTCTTTTATTAGTGGATCAAAAGCCGTAGATATCCTCCAAGCGTATGAAGGTACACTGGATGAAGATCATCCACCGGATAATGAACGATGTGAGCATGGTGAAATGCTTTTGTACAAGGTAATTGCTTTTATCTAGAAGTAACTGTTATTGCTTCTGTCTCTCTGTGTGTGTGACCTGTGATGGGAGCTCATGTCTAAACCTGTTACTCAAGTTTCTACAAATCATTCTTCAGGAGCTTCCTTGCGCTATCTTCGAAAGTTATTGCAGCCAGAATAACTGAAGTGTTTTTTTGTTTCTTGTGGTTGGATGTTGTTCTTATGATGTTGTCACAATCTTACACTTAAATCTCTTGTGTTTTGATTTATCTTCCTTTTTGTGAATCTGTTGAGATTTCTACTTTTTTCCTGAACCATAGTGGCGTATTGGTTGATTTATTATCTCAATATGAAATGATCTGGCGTCAAGCTTTCGAGTGAGGTGCCTGGTGAGCTTTTATATTTCAAGATTTTGGGCATTATTTTGTAGATTTTATCATGGGAAAGGGTTGGAGAGGGTCAGCGAGGTGGTACCTGGCACTAATGTTTCAATCCTTTCGCAAGTTTGAAAAGTTGAAGTTTTTTCTGAATGATTGTTTTACTTTGTTTGTCAAGCATCAGAGTGGTATTTTGATCTGCATTTTGATGGTATCTTTACCAGTTCTGCATGCACAGTGTAGTTCTTCTATTGGATGTTCTTATGCACAACATTTCTTTTCTCAGATTTCATTGCTCGAGGAATGTGGGCTTTTTGAGAGAGCTCTTGAGGAGTTGCGGAAGAAAGAATCTAAGATAGTAAGTATCTTTAGAATTTTCATTTTGGCAAGAGATGCAGTGAGCATTTTGGTATCACTTAGAAATAAAACATTGATTGTTTTCTATGATTGAGTGTATAGGTTGATAAAGTGGGCTATAAGGAACGAGAAGTTTCACTTCTTGAGAAGCTTGGTAGGTTGGAAGAAGGTGAAAAACTGTACCAAGTGCTATTGTCTATGAATCCTGACAATTACAGGTACTATCTTTTCTCCATTTTAGATGATCAATGGCATTGATTTGAGGACTCGTCATCCAGTGCACACTAGTTTCATACTTGGCATACTTTTTAGTTGTCACTTAATATTGATACCTCTTAAAAATTTTACACACTGATGCTATTCTTGTACTGTTCTGAGCTCCAGATATTATGAAGGGCTACAAAGATGCATGGGAATTTTTTCAGAGGATGGCCTTTACTCCTCAGATGACATCAATAAATTGGAAGCCCTGTATGCATCACTTGCTCAGCAATATAATAAGTCATCTGCTGTTAAGGTAATAGATAACTGCATTATTCCAATTCCCTTTTTGTTACTGTTTTCCCCTGGGTCTCTCTGGTAGGCCTTAGAAATCATGCTTGTTCGTTTGGAGTGGGAAATTATCTTGCTTCCGAGTAAACCTGGCAGAAAAGTCTGAAAGTTTCCACCACTTTATGTTTGAGCCTGTGATGTTTACTTTACGATTATGGAAATAGAATCCCCAACACCCCCACCCCAACCCCGACTTTTCACCTCAGGTTTGTAATGAATGTACTGACCTGTGTTATGTTGATGTTATTTATCATTTGCCAGCGGATCCCATTGGATTTTCTTAGTAGTGAAAAGTTCCAAAATGCCGTGGAGAACTACATTCGTCCTCTCCTGACAAAGGTATTGAAACCGAATTCTTCATGCTGGTTTCATTTGTAAAATTTTCCTCTTCTTGGAGACAGTTTTTCGTATTACCTCTTGATTGTGATGCTCATCCAGATTCTATCATGTTTATGTAGGGGGTTCCTTCGTTGTTTTCCGATCTTTCACCTCTCTATGATCATCCTGGGAAGGTAGGCAATCTTTGAACTCGGGAAGCAGATTTTTTATTGTAGGTTTAATATGTTCTAGACACCATTTACCAAAGTCTAACTATTGTGCAGGCAGATATTCTGGAAAAACTGATGCTTGGATTGGAGCATTCGCTTAAGACATCATGTCAGTTCCCTGGCAGGTATTGAGATACTAAGAATCACTACCTTGAGTTGCTGCTACTTTTTCAGCACCACTTTGGGCATCTCAATTAAATACTGTCTTGGTGATACAAATGTTACTTTATTATATCTATAAAATTGTTCCGACTCGTGTAATCTGAGTTGTTATTTGTTGCTGAATCCCATGGCCATGTGCTTTCTTCTTTTCCATGTTTGAGCATTTACTAATAGCTTCAAGTCCTCGTAAGAGATAGTAATGCCTTATTGTTGAGGCTTGGAAAAATTGCTATCATAAAAGCTGATTTGTTCTTTCTTTTTTAAAAGGATCTGAGTTAACTCAAAATTAATTGCGACAATGTAGAAGTTTTAGTTGGAAAGTTCCCCGTCCTTCTGGTATGTGACAAAATCGAAAAAAGGAATTATCAGGACGACTGGTGGGTATAAAATATCTGACACCCTCAAACATGACTAAAGTGTCAATAATTGTATGATTGGGCTTGAAAATGTGTTATGATGGCATTATCCATGTGCATTTATTCTCATTGTTGCTTTCTTCTATGTTGCAGCTCAGTGGTAGAGCCACCAACAACTTTGCTGTGGACCTTGTTTTATTTGTCTCAGGTAGCCTATAATATCTTCTCAGCCTACATTTTTGCGTCATGTATGTTCTCTTTTATGAGTTTCTTAATAAGTTTCATTATTGCAGCATTTTGACCGACGTGGCCAACATGAAATTGCTTTGGAAAAAATTGACGAGGCTTTAGAACATACTCCAACTGCAATTGATGCATATTCTGTGAAGGTCAGCCTTTCTCATCATATTATGAATTTGCAGTGACAAGTTGCTTTTAGTTTCTTGGCTTTTATGAAATCTGAAGTTAAAGGTTGACGTTAATTCCTGTTGGTCAAATGGACTTGATGGATATGTCATGCTGAAGACTATGATCATTGATGTTGCTGTATGTTCTTTTTTTATTGCTGTACATGTTACAGAAAGATACATAGCATAGTGAAAGCTACTGGTTGCTCCTCTTTTGAATATTAATGTGTTGATTGGTCTACAATTACTGCTGGATATGGAGTCGGTCCTAATTTATTAGGAGCCTTATTTTCTTCTTCCTTTATTATTACTTAATAAATTTATATTTTTTGTCCTTCCTTTTTGTGCACACTAATGTGTGTGCTGGTGTACCCATTTGGTTTTAAATCTGCAACAGAGCAGAATACTCAAGCATGCTGGTGACATGGAAGCTGCAGCAGCAATCGCAGATGAAGCTAGGCGTTTGGATCTGGCGGATCGTTATATTAACAGTGAATGTGTTAAGCGCATGCTACAGGCTGATCAGGTCAAAATCTCTGGCATAAAACGTTTTAATGAGAAAAAATGGAAACGTATTAGTAGCCTTGTTATTGGATCATTTTTAATTCGGGTGTTATCATGTGTCTTCCTTGGTCCCATTCAATGACTGTCATTGTGGGTTTATGTTATGTAGGTTTCTATGGCTGAAAAGATTGCTTTATTATTCACAAAAGATGGAGAGCAACACAATAACCTGTATGATATGCAGTGCATGTGGTATGCCTTGTTCTAGACCTTGTTCAAATAATGTTTTGGTGTTTTAGATACCTTTCTCATCGTAGTTTATATTCATTGGTAGGTATGAACTTGCATCTGGGGAAAGTTACTTTCGGCAGAATGACCTGGGACGGGCATTGAAGAAATTCTTAGCTGTTGAAAAACATTATGCAGATATTGTGGAGGATCAGTTTGATTTCCATGCCTATTGTTTACGAAAAATGACCCTCCGCACCTATGTTGAAATGTTAAAATTTCAGGATAGGCTGCATTCTCATGCTTATTTTCGCAAAGCAGCATCTGGAGCCATTAGGTAATACTCATAAAAAGTATGGTTGTCGCTGTGTATGTGTCGGGGGTTAGCTGACATTTTTAATTACTTAAGCAGTTTGAGACTTAAAGATTTGCTCAAGGGTTTGGAAGTTTATGTGGATGGGAGATTCTCATACTTTCTCTTGGTTTATTATTTCAATATCACATCCTGGATTTCACATTGCGTACAAAGACACTTCTCTAGTTACATCCATATCAATAAGTATTCATAATTACTTATCTCATGTACAGATGCTATCTTAAGTTGTATGATTCTCCTTCTAAGTCATCTACTGAAGACGACGATGAGATGTCAAAGTTACCGCCTTCTCAAAGAAAGAAACTGCGGCAAAAGCAGAAGAAGGCAGAGGCTCGAGCTAAGAAAGTATTCTTTCAGTACCTAAAAGTTTTGCAACTTTTTACTTTTTAAAGGAGAGGAAGCCTGGTGCATAGAACCTCCTGCTACTGCAGGCCGAGGAAGGGCTGGCCATTTAGGCCTTGTGTATACAATTACATCTCCTCAAGGCTTTCTTTCTACTGAGTCTAGCCGTTTCCTGTCTACAGTGCCTGCCTACAGTGCCAATCCTCTGATTACCCTTTCCGTTCATTAATTAAGAACTTCCACTTACATATATTTTTCTGATTATATTATTTAGGAGGCAGAAGTAAAAACTGAGGAAGCAAATAGCACTGCTGTCTCTAAATCTGTAAAGCGCCACTCAAAACCTGTAGATTTAGATCCACATGGCGAGAAATTATTACAGGTTAGTTCCCGTGTATCTTTCAAATCCCTTTGTTTTCTAAATGTTTAGGGTCCAGTCTATTTAATTTGAATCACTCCTTGTTCAAAATACAGTTATGGGGAAATAGTTGCTGCTCTTGAAGAAGAGAATATAACTTAGATGATATTTTTCTTCTCTACTCAATTTTGTAGGTTGAAGATCCGTTACTCGAGGCAACCAAGTATTTAAAGCGTCTTCAGCAGTATTCTCCTAATTTTTTGGAGACTCACCTTCTTTCTTTTGAAGTAAATATGAGGAAACAGAAAACTCTATTAGCATTGCAGGTAGGTTTCATTTAGTTTCGAATTTTGGCAAAATCCTTTCTTGCTTCGAAATGAGTAATCAATTAATTTTGACATGTTATGTGAGTGCCGAATGTGTTCTTCCTTTTTGGTTGACTGTTCTTTTGCATCTAGAAACTTTTTTCCTTGAGCTTCTTACGTTATATACTTCTTCCTGTGTCTTGTGATTGTGAATTCATACTTTTTGAACTTGCCTAAGAAAATCTCTTTCCTGCAGGCACTAAAGAATCTTATTCGATTGGATTCTGGCCATCCAGATACCCATTGTTGTCTGGTATGCAATTGTTACATCTGTTAAGTCAATTACTGCAGCAATGATCTGCTTCAATTTTTATGAAATCCTGGGTTTTTGGATTTCACACTGATACATGGATTGGTTATTCTTATGCTAAATTATACTTTTTGCAGGTAAAGTTCTTTAAGACGGTTGGATCTTTGCCTGCTCCGGTGAAAGATGCTGAAAAGGTGGTCTGGAGTGTCCTGGAAGCCGAACGACCTTCTTTTAGGCATAGCCCTAACTTTTCAAGCCTTCTCTACATATATATATATATATATATATATATATTCTTTTTCTTTTGTGTTTGCTTGCTGCCAATATAGACTATTTGACTGTACCTTATTTCCTTGCTTTTGTAGTCAGTTGCACGAGAAAACTCTTGTGGAAGCAAACACTGCTTTTCTTGAGAAAAATAAAGGTAAAAAACTACCTTACGTTTTTCAATCACAAATTAACATTATCTTGCTGTCCACATTATTCAGTTGAGTCTTGTGCTCATTTTCCTTCTGCTGCAGATTCGTTGATGCATAGAGCCGCCGCTGCAGAAATGCTGTTTGTTCTGGAACCAAGTAAAAAGGCTGAAGCTGTCAAATTGATTGATGATTCAACTAATGATATTGTTGCAAAGTAATTTCACTTGGCTTTCAATTTTAGTTTTTTTTTTCTTTTTGTTTTGTTGGCTTTCATGGAGAATATTGATGTACTATTTTGGTGTATTTTCCTTGAAGTAGAAATGGAGCCCTAGGACCCGTAAGGAAATGGAAGCTTAAAGAATGCATAGCTGTTCACAAGCTCCTAGGTGAAGTTTTCAATGACAATGATGCAGCTTCAAGTAAGCCATTGTTCCCACTTTTGCTATATTTACGCCAGTTGCTGATCCCTGAAGTCCTGTTTGCTATTAGGTCTGGGTAGAGACGATGTTGATACTACTGTCAGATGCTAGATATCTATTTTTTCCCCCTTCCTGCTGTTAGGTTGTGTTGTCTGCTTTACACTAAGCAGCAATTCAAACCTGAATTGTTATGCAAGTTGGCCTATGTTTCTTGGACATTTGTCACTCAGTTGTTTCATATTTGGATGCAATTGATAATAAAAATTAGCTTTCATGTCCCAGAAAATATACAGCTATTGTAGCCTTGATCTTTCTAAACTTTGATCTATTCCTGTCGTTGCAGGATGGAAATCACGGTGCGCTGAGTACTTCCCTGTTTCAACGTATTTCGAAGGCCAGAAGAGTCCTACGATACGGAAGTCTAGCTCTCCGCAGATTGAGAACTCTGACAATGCAGGTTCAAACAGTATACATACTGATCAATCACCAAACGGAACACTTTGAACACTTCATGCTGGAGAAGATGAAAGGCCGTCTGCACTACCAATATCATACATGAATCATCCCACATTTCAGGATTTATTATGCTGAGCAGAGTTTGGGTATGATCTCCTTTGGCGGCCTAAAGGAAGCATTTGTTGATATGATCGTGTCTCGACTTCATTTCCAGCATTAGATAATTAAAGGGGCAGCGCAGTAGTTAATTTGAAAGCAGAAAGAACTAGTTTCTTCTGCATTTTTGATTTTCTTTGTTACTTTTTTGGGGTGAAATTCTGCAGTTTTGAAATAGGGAAAAAAAATTTAGGTTGTACTGTAAAGACCATCTTCCCTCTTAACATATAATTTCAGAGGCAGAGGAAATATACTGTTGTCTTGAAACCTAAACTGATTTTTTCGTTTTTATAAAAGATGAACACTAGGATACTGTTGAAATAAACTTTTTTTTATTGAGTCTTATCATGGATTCAACGACATTATTCTCTTGAATCGATAATTTGCTTGTAAACCAGCACCACCAGCTTACTCATTCTGAAAGGAATAACTTGATGAACAATTAACCGTATAATAATGAGCCATCCTTCACACACCAAATTCTTCAATCTCTGGCAACTTAGTCTGAATAACTTTATGTAATTTTTTGGTTTCGAAATGATTGACTTTAGTCATTATTGTTGACGGTGTCCACCATGTAAATATGCGAAAAGATTTCAAGATTGCGTTCCATCTATCCTGGATGAACGACCATAAACATTCTGCTCGCAAAATTTTTTCTGAAAATACCAATTAAAAGAGGTTAACCTCTTATAAAGCTTAATTACACACATTCTCTAGGTGAAAAAAAAAAACCAATTAAAATGGTGTTCTAGCCACAGACCAAATACTCCGGATCTTTAAACAATTACTATTTGGGATCAGATAAGCCAAAAGAAGATGACACCAATCAACTGAATTACGCCTGGTATTTAACCAAGAGAACTAAATCATATCGACTGGAACCAAAATCTTTTTATAAATCACAGCTTGTAAAAACTCTCCAATAATTTAGCCTCTAGGAGGATATCCCATGAAGTTACATCTTCACCATCATTCATATTACTTTCATCCATACACCATTTTCCAAACATTTTCTCCGAAAAACGAGTTTCTCATTGTTCCGACAATCCATGGTCTCGAAGGCTACTTCAATATTCATTGGTCCAGTAGTACATTTCTTCATCCACGATGAAACAGTCCCATATTCCGTCATCACCCATATCGCGACATATTCTCAGCATAAGTTGAGCCAACCATAAAATTGTAACATTTGAACGGAATAATGTACAGATTCGATCATCAGGATACTTCATCTCTTGGAGTGCCGCAAGACTGGCATCAAAACAAGCAATGATAATCTGGTAAAAAAATAAAAAAAATCAGGGGGAGTGGTTCATAGTGATCGTAAGAATGGAATTGAAAAATACTTCTGTAGAGGAATCGCATTGTCATCTGGGCTACCCTATATCACCTGGTTCTTCATGAGGATCGGATGTTTATCCGGATTGCTTGTACTTTACTTCTGATCAAATTACGCCAGTATTTACTCTCACAGCATCGGAATGTCATCAAACATTTGATAGGCAATCTTGCTAAAATATCAATCAGAAATGCTCTCCATCAAATATTCCATGATTTTCCTTTTTCCCTTTTCTTTATGGGAACTTCGTTTTCTAGGGCTTTTCTCTATACTTTTTTCCCACACAAAATAACCGTTCCCATTAATGTATTTCGCCCTTTTACCATGAAGAATAGAAAACTTTTTTTTAATAAAACAATTATAATTATAATACTAATAATATGAAAATTCTATTGTAATATAATAATACAATTTTAGAGTGGCAAAAGGTCTTCTTCAGCAGCTGTAGTTAACTGTAAAATTGTTCTTTCATGTTGAGGTGGCTTTGATTTGATGACCACGCCAAAGTTTCATGAGCTTTTGATTTCAGTTCAACTTTAATCATCAATTCATCATCCATCTAAGCAGTACATTTTGATAACAGATTTAAACGAGATTATTGCCTAGGAAACCCCATTATTTAGTACTCCATCTTAAAAAAAAAAATACTCTATTTGTCTCAAAATTATTATCCATTTGGAAATTTTAATTTTAATTCAATTTGTACTAAAAATGAAAATTCAAATTGGACAATAATTTTAAGACGGAGGGAGTGATTCACATTGGGTTTTGAAGTTTATACTTTTGTAAGTTACAAATTCTAAAATTCAAGATACATTTTTTTTTAAAAGACAAAGGATATACTATTATTATTAAGTTGGACCAACTTTCATTAATGGCATACCCATTTTCAGGCTTCCACTTTTAGTTTTCAGGACAACCTTTTTTCTCGATGATAATTTGTGTAGTTCATCATGGGGAAGCAATTAAATGATACACAAATTCAGAACCTTTTCAAAGAGCAAGTTTTTATTCGTTTCCCGACCTAAGAGGCAAAGAAACTCTAATGGAGCCATTGTGCCAGGCGACAACCCAAACTCAATGTACCCTTTTTTTAGGGTTTTCGTGCAATTATATCTCTATACCTTGTCTAACTGTCTACGTATTTTGAAGCATATGCTCGGTTGGGACGAAACACAATGTCAAATTTTAGTTTAATAATCGATTTTAGGTAAGAAATGTATATTATAATTATTTTTACTACTACATAGCGATCGTGACTCCATCAACTAAATGGTATGCTGCATGTGCAAGGATTCAGTCCAATTCTGCTTTGCATTTGTTCCAAAAATCACACCAATGTGTTGAATGAAACGAATCCTAACCCCCCTCAAAAATTAATTGAGAGCGAATATTATTATTCTGCAAAACTGTATTTGAGATTTGAGACTAAGAATTTTTCTGAAAATCGGATTTTTTTTTTTGTGCGTGTTTTTAAACAGGAACAAAAAAATAAAATTTGTATATATATGGATAGCTTTCAGGAGCTTAAAAAAAAATGGTTTAGTTTAATCTCATTTTCATATATACACACGTCTTATGAGATGTGAAATTGTTACGAGGACTTCCGACATATCCGTAAGGAATATATATAGCGCTTCGAACTGTTTTAATTACGTACTGCATTATAATGTGGCTTTGTGAAAGAGATCGAGCACTAATGGCTTAATGAAATTGGTGCATATTTCAAGAACAATAGCAATGATACACTTTCATAAAACAAAATTTTTGGCTAAGTTATTCTTCAATATCCTACTAGGCAATTATAAGTTAGGTTAGTTAATTAGTTATAATCAATATAATCTTGGCGATTCTATATATATGATTTGGGCACATGAATGTATCAATTTTTATAATCCTTGCTTTGATATAACCATTCTCATTGATATATGTTATCTTTAACCTAACATCAATCTAATAATGTCAATTTTCTTGGACTGAATCCTTTCTTTTTTCGTTTGTGTGTGTGTGAAGGGGGAAACCTATGGACCTACGGTGGCTTGTTTCCATGGGAAATCACATTGAAAAAAATTGTTAATCAAATGAGATTCCTAACGATCATTCTATAATAAGGTTGTGTTATGGGTTTTGATTCCCTATATCGGTTTACATGATGATGTTCTTTGGGACACATCTAACTAATATTGTTTAATTGAGATGAATCATCGATAGAGTTTTTGTTTAATAAATAAACATTTGGAATTTGTGCACGTCTTTGGTCTCTCAAGGGGAGGCAAATGACAATAAAAACACGAGAGATACTAAACTAAGTAGCTCAATATTTTGATGTTCTATTCCCACGGCCATTGCGAGCCTGAACCTACAATTTTATATATCTTTTGTTTTTCGTGTTAATCAATTCTAACTCTTAGAGACCCATCAAATATTAATCATTTGAGGTCCTAGTGTGTTGAAAATGAATATCGTACTCCGTCAAGTCTACTTAACGGAAAACAAATTTAAACTAAATAAATATAAATAAGATTGTAAAATATACAGTTAGTTATAATTAATCGACGGTCACTTAATACTAAGCCACAGCTTGCTTTTTATTTATTCCAGCTACCAAGCTTTCCTCATCGGTCTTAGGGTATCTAAAAGTATTAGACTAATCAAAACCAATAACATTCTTTTTTTCTTTTTTGCGAAATGAGCCCCTCAATTAGGCAAGTCACATGGATTGTTCCTTCAAACCTTAACACAGAGGGTAAGGAATTTCATCAAATGCCCCGCAAGTAACAATAAACTTATTAACTGGTCTTCCCATCATCGATCAACCCCATATCTGAAAAATATTTCGATGTTTTCTTGATGGGCTTTTCTAATGTTTAGGTGGCAGGCATTCTCTTCCCTACCAATCCTATCTCTTCTCATATGAACCAAACCAAACCATTAATTGAATATTGTTGATCTGGCAAATTCATTCTGCTTCTTCTTTGTCTGTCCTCCAATATTATTTGATACCTAACATGCACTGTATATATAACTGTGTTAGACGCCAAAAAATTGGATACAAATTAAACCACATCAAACCCCTTCACTATATCATAGCATAAAAGAGAGGAAAAAGTGGTCTTTTTTAATTCAGAAGTACTACATATATACTACATTGTAAGATACAACAGAGAGAGATGGCAACAAATGGGCTTGGACTGGAAATCACTGAGCTCAGATTAGGACTTCCCGGCGGCGACCGGAGTAGTGGTGCCGGAAATGAGAAGAAAAGGGTTTTTTCTCAGATTGAAGGAGTTGATGATGGTGTGAATCAGGATCAGAAAAATGTTAATGTTGAGAAGAAATCTGGTGCAAAGGCAATGAGTCGTCGTCATCATCATCAGCAGCAGCAGCAGCAAGTGGTTGGATGGCCTCCGGTGTGTTCGTTTCGGAGGAAGAATAGCTTCAAGAAGGCTAATGCTGATGAAGATCAGTACTCATTGAAAATGTACGTGAAAGTTAGCATGGATGGAGCCCCTTTCCTCCGGAAGATCAATCTGAGTGATCAGAAAGATTATTCTGATCTTCAGTTGACTCTCGAAAAGCTATTTGGCTCCTGCTTTAAACTTGGTAAGTACATACATTTTCCATCAAGTTAATCCTAATTCCATTTTCTATAGCAACTATTTTTGCTTCTTTAAAGTGTGGTTTTATTTTATGCATCTATATTAATTTCCACTATATGTTCTTCATGACAAATGTATACATTATCAAATTATAACGGTTAATGTATATATGCACACATATACTAACAAAAGGCGTTGTTTGTGAAGAATTTGGGCTGAAGTTGATCACATCATTGTAGCATTAGCATACGTTCTAACTCTTTTATTTTTCCCCTATCATTTTTTTTTAAAAATTTTTTTTTCCACATTCAATTTTCTAAACCTTTTTTCCACTTTAATTATTTTGTATGAGTACAGTTGAGGACTACAGTTCGGAATACGTTCCAATATACGAGGACAAAGAAGGAGATTGGATGCTTGTGGGAGATGTGCCTTGGACGTAAGTAGTAGACTCATCTCTTGAATTATTAAAAAACTAATTAGTATATCCAACAATTTCTTAGTGTTGGAATTATTGATTCCCTTTTTTTCATTGAAATGCGAGGAAATTGATTTTTTTTTTTTTTAATTTGACTGCAGGATGTTCATTGAATCTTGTAAGAAGCTGAGGATCATGAAGAAGACTGAAGCAATTGGAATTGGACTGAGAAATGCAAAGGAAACCTCGCACGATGGATGATCTCGCTCCAACTTGATTAATGTTAATCCAAAGTGTATTAATATAGGCTGAGTTTATTACATAATTTAATTTTTTTTTTTTTTTGGCTTTGGTTTTGATTTTGTGTTTCCTCTCTTGTGTACGTTTAATGACTTAGTTAATCCCGTATACTTCTAGATTTCTCTTCAAGAACACTCGACAGGAAGTAAATTTATACCCCCATACGTATTGTCTTGAATTCAGGCTATGCAAATTTATTCAAATATGAAACTCAGCTGTATTCTTATGTACACCTTCTTAGAAGAGTTTTACCTCTGGAATGGGATATATCCGATTCGTATTTTAAATCAGTCGAAACAATGATTTTGGACACAAGACGACACCTGATATATCCAAAAAAGTGTCAATTTTATTTTGTTCATTATCTAGTTCTCTTTATATACCCTGCATTTTAAAAGTTGATTTTTTCCCCCCCGTTTATTATGAAGAGAAGATGCCAATCGGTTGGCATTATTGAGAGGCCTGTTTTCATGGTGGCCCAAGTTCAGCTCCAACTGATCTTCATTTCGGGCTTCATCAAATCCATAACACATTTTTCTAATAATTTAAAAAATAAATAATTAAATTAAAAGGAAAATCCTAAAAATATATTTGGCCTGTTGATATTTTTAGAGACCACCGCGCGCACGCATCTACAGCCCCACAACCACGAGCTCTTTTTAAGTAAAAAAAAAACTTCACCGTCTTTCTCTCTTTTATCCTCCCTTCTTTTCCTTTCGATATCTGATTTCCTCTGTTTTCTTCCCTTTTTAACCCTCATCCGTTTTATTTTACGTTTTCCATTAAACCCAAGAGGAAAACAAAAAAATTACAAAAATTAAAAATCGCCCTACAAATTAATTTCAAACCCATCTTCTTCTCCTCTTCTTTGATTTTTCCTTCCAATTTGGGCGAGTCAGATTTCTAGGGTTTACGAGTTCCGAGAAGTGCCTAATATCCTTGTTCGTTCCAATTTTGAGGGTCATAACAATCGAATAACCCTAATTTTTGTGCGAATTTGATTTCGTTGGGGGTTCGAGTTTTGGATTTTGCAACTGCATGTTGTTTTTTTCTTTCTTATGTTGAGTTGAGTGGATAAAATAATTAGGCTTTTCCGAGAGTGGAAGCATGGCGGAGGAAGCGAGAGAAGAGGAGGTGGAGTACGAGAGCGATCCGGAGGAGGCGAAACTATCGTTGAAGATGCGGAGGAGGGAGGCCAGCGATGATGAGGAGGAAGTGGAAAGGGATGGGGAAGTTGGAGAGGTGAGTGGTGGAGCGAAGCCGCGCAGGAGATTGGTTGACTCCGACGTTGAATCGGATGGTCAAGGCGCGGCGGCTAATTATGAAGATGAGGAGGAGGAAGAGGATTATGTGGAGGACGAAGAAGAGTATGTGGAGGAGGATGATGAGTATGTGGAGGAGTTGGAAGAGGAAGCTTATGAAGACGGAAGGGGCCAAATTGGCGGAGTTGAGGCGGTGGCCAAGGAACGGGAGGTGGTGGTTGAAGGTAAAGAGGATTTTGAGGACGGCATTGGGTCTAAACCAAGAGAAGGTGTTGATGGGTCCAACGAGCATAGAAATTTTGATGAAATCTCAAATGATAATCAGCAGGGGGATGGAGAGGTAGATGGTGACAGGGAGGAGGAGGAAAAGAAAGAAAATGAACCATTTGCTGTGCCTACTGCCGGGGCTTTCTATATGCACGATGATAGGTTTCGTGACAGTTCCGGTGGACGACACAGGTACAATATGAAGTTTTTTAGCCTAATCCTTTCTTATGTATATCGTGAGTTTGATACTTCTATTTTGAAACCAGTTGCCATTTCTAGACCCTGTTACATCTGTATTGACTAATTTCTAGTGTCAGATTAGTGGAATGTTTTAGCTTGTCAAATGCATTGATGCATTCTCTGGATTGTTGTTTTGTAAATGCTTTACCTGTCCAAATGCAAATAACAGGAGTTTAGGAACTTATTTCTTTGCGTGTTTGGGGCGTTTTTGATATTAGGATTCATCCGTTTTCTTTCGCCTGATTTTGGTTCTCAAACTTCTACTGTGAAATGTGGTCACATGTGATATTGTTCATTTCATGCTTGGGCCTTTATTCCTGGAGGATAACTCCGTTAACTAGCTTTCTTTTGTGTGTGTGTGTTTCCCCTCCTTTTGGTTCTAACTTGTTTAACCTTTGTTGTTAATACTTAATAGTGGTAAGTTGTTGCCACTTGCTTTCTTTTCTTTCTTTCTTTTTTTTTTTTTTTTTTTTGTTCCTCCCATTTAGTTGATTTATTGGGCTCTTTACCTCTTCCAAATGTCCCTTTCTTCTAATATCCATGGCCATTTTATGCTTTCGGATGCTATGTTTTGTTGGCTACGATTGCCTACTGTTGCCTATTCTCTAAGCATTTAGTTTATTATGAACCTCTGAGCATTCTTCCAGGTTTATTATTTGGCCTATGAAATATGCATTGGTTTACAAAACTAAGGGTTACTGAATTGTATTTTCCCCCATCCGTGTACAACAAAGGATGAAGTTCTTATTTTTTGTTTGTGTATTTTTTTATACAAGATTTTGCTATTATTACTTCGTACTAAGCTAGTTTTGACTAAATTAATATTTATTAGTACCTTCTGCTGTGTCTAGGCGTACTTTTGGTGGTAGAAAATTGTGGGAGTCGAAAGATGAGAAGAAATGGGGACATGACAAGTTTGAGGAGCTGACTCAGCAAGAAAGGCATTATGATGATGTGAGCCATTTTTATGTGTCGAAGGATTTTCAAGTATTTCGGTTATGTTAGTTCCTAGTTTAGTAGAATGATTATCTCTGTTTATGACTATTTAGGGTAGGAGAATTTCTCGAGGGAGGTATCGAGGCCGTGGTAGGGGTCGAGGTGCAGAACGAGGGGGATTTGTGCGAGGTAGCAAGCCAAGATCGTATGTTGCTAGTAAAGATCAAACTAAGAACAACCAGAGCAATGTTCCCAAGAGTGTTAGAGGACGAGGGCCGAGAAAATATCAGGCTTCTTTCAAGAACAATGATGAAGTAGCATCCATGCCAAACCAACAGTGAGTATTAGGCTTTGGTAAAATTTCTCTCATTCTAGTCTTTTGGGTATATTTTGAGCAAATTTTATGTTTGCTTGTGCTTGAATATGCTAGATCTGGAAAGACAGCTGATAAACCTTCTCATTCTGGGTCTGGGAGAGTATCTGCGCCCACATCTAACGTGGCCTCTGAAGCTGTGCAAGCTAAAAAAAATGTTTTTGCTTCAAGTTTAAATTCGGCATCTCCTCCATTTTATCCTTCTACTTCTGCCTCTAAAGAGATTCCTTTAGCACAGAAGAGGGATGTACAATCAGGGACTTCTAACCGTCGGACTCATTCTTCTGGCGAGCAGAACTTTTCTACAGCACAATCTAGTAGTGTCCAAAGGGGAAAGGTCGCAGTTGATTCTATTGGCATGGATAAACTTTATATTGATGATTCACTATCCACAGTTTCTGGGAAGCCTTCAACCAATACGCAATTTCCTTCTGGATCTACACCCATGAATGCTACTCAACCGCTGCCAATGAGGGCCCATGGAAGAGGAATGAATAGCTTGCCTCAGATGACTTACCAACCAACTGGAGCTACTAGCCAAGGCAACAGGATTTCCCCATCAAATCAGTTTCACCCTGCTAAGAGAAATCTTGTTCAGGGTCGAGGACAACCTTCTTTTCAAGCTTCGGGTCAGCAGTTTGTCCCTACTACAGCAAGTGGATCTCAAGTTTCTTCTCCTCCAAAAGCGACTCTTGTTAAAAGTTCTTTTGAAACTGGAGAGAAGGAAACTACTTCAGATATAAGCAAGTCCAAGGCTGCATTGGTGGTTAAAGGAAAGGGCGCTGCTCAAGGTAGTGGTAGGGGTTCATTTTTGTATGGTGGAGCTCAAGTTATGGGGGCTTCTGGGAACTTGGGAAGTGGTCCCGGGGATCAGAATTTCCCTGCCTTTTTGCCCGGTAAGGTTCAGTAATGTTCTGTTTTCCCTGTAGGGTTCCCATTTAGCAGCGATAATAATGGTTTTTTGGTATATGCAGTTATGCAATTTGGGGGCCAGCATCCCGGTGGTATCGGAGTTCCTGCTGTTGGCATGGCCTTTCCTGGGTATGTTGCTCAGCCTCAACTTGGTGGCTTAGGGAACTCTGAAATGACCTGGTAAAAGTTTCTTTTGCCATTCTCTTAAATGGGGCTTGATTTCCCTTTCACGTGAAGTAGGAGATAGTTTATAAAGAATTTGATGTTAATGTCCTTGCAAGTACAAAATCAATTTAATATAGTTTTTAGTTAGGTTTTCTTTTTGGACCTTTTTATTGAATGCTTGCTCCTCGACAAATGCTACTTAGTTTGCTGTTAGAAAAAGTTTGATAGGTTGCGTTATGATTTCGTGCCATCTCCCAAGATCATATTCATTCCTTTAAGATGCTTTTTTTTTAACACTGCATGTATTATAACTGTCATCTCCTAGTATAATAAAGCTGACAATCATTCACCATTCTCAGGCTGCCTGTCTTGGCTGGTGCTGCTGGAGCGTTGGGTGCAACTTACTGTTCTCCATATATGTCCATGGATGGCTCCTACAGTATGCGCCCGTCTGGTCCAGCATCTTCTGCAGCTGCTGCTTCACTGTCAGTAAAATTCCTTTCTTTTCAAATTTGAGATTTAGTGATCACATATTCACTGTATAATGACTTTCCTTCATTACATGGCTATCCCCCGCACAAAGCCTCCCCCCATTCACCTATAGGGGGGGATTATACTGGAGCACAACATTGTTTTATGCACTGGATTTTGTTGCATTATCCTGAAAATTGTGGTCTTGAAGTTTTTTGTGCTGCTTTTCTTGTTTGTTTTCTTCATCTGATGCAATTTTTTGAAAACCTTATGTAATGTTCTTAGTCAGTTGCTTTTTTGAATTTATGTTAGTTGCCGTTCGTGTGTTATGAGTGCTTGCTGCCAAGTGTGCTTACCTTAGAGGATCTAAATTTCTTTTAATTTGCCTGCAGCAAAGAAAATAATGCTGATAAACCCAGTAATGAATGGAATCCCTCATCTAGGCCTGGTAAGTTTTGTATTTGTTTTTTTGTTTTTTCCTTCATCCATCCTTTTTTCTCTGTTATAGTGATTTATGATTGATGTAATGATCTATTTGCGTACTATTTCAGAGGTTTCTACTGATGATTTTGGCCAGCGGCAAAAGAATCCTCGCAGGTAAGACAATTTTTTTTGGTTCTTGCTTATCAGTAAGACACTCGCAAACCATTTGAAGTGTTTGTTATACTTACCATGGTGCATTCTCTTTCTGTTTTTCATGCAGATACACAGAGATGAAGTTTGACCAGTGAAATTATAGATAGGTGGAGTTTGTACCAAGAGTTAAGTTCCCCCATGAAATCTTTCATTTGTTGGGTGTAGCAAGATTCTGAGTTGGTTCTGGTGCGGCAGGCTTCTTTCCAAGCCCTTTGTGTTCTTCAGTTATTGATCTGGTACACTTAGGGCTGCCCACTGTACTTTGGAGTACTGTAGGTATTGTATCTGCTGTTGCTTTTTAATTTTGTCATCCATGAAATTATTTTCCAGTTAGTACTCTAGGTACTCTAGGTACTAAGTTAATATGCTTTAAGCAGGTTAGCCTTGTACTCAGTTTTTGTACAAAATGGTCATTTCTACTGGGGATAGTTTAGTATCCTGGCATTTGGTACTTTGTGTTGATCTCATATCTTTGAAGTTGGTTACTATCTGTGAGTGAAAGTTTCAGTTGAAATCTGATGCTATGTTGTATATCATTATCTGGCATTTTATTGGTGGGTATTTTGAATTAGCAAACATGGAGGCCACTTGTGTGGATACCTTTACCATCATAGTTGCAGTCATCTATTACTGTCGATTGAGTTGTTACGTTTTGGGGGAAGAATATAAATTGAGTTAGGTGTTTGAAGTTCAAAAGGCACTCTCTAACTGATGTATGCATTATTTTTGTGTCATTAGGTCTATGAAGTACATTCCAAGCTTCTTTTCCTCCAAGTTGTATCTTAGGCATTTTTCTGCCTCTTTGTTGCAGGTAAATACGTGTTAAAAAAAAACTACTCTTGCTGCTTTATTCAAAGAAAAACAATGCAGCTTGATGGGTGGTGGTTTGTTCTGATATGCGGTATGGGGGCTGAGAGCTCAAGGACCTTTGATTTTTTTTTCTTCTGTGTATGCACAGAGATCGTAAAAATGGTAGAGTTGATTCATCTTTTTGGTTTCAGGTGGTTCTGGCTTTGATTTTATTTTATGAGGCGTGTGTCAAGTCTAACTAGCTTCTTCGTGGATATGATGGAAAAGAACAAGATGTTTAAATTGTGCGGCAGCTGCTTTGCTTCCAGAGACTTAGTTGTGTTTTCAGTGTAATTGGATTATTTTGGTGTTCCTTTTGGGGTTCGGTTTATCAATAATTTAGATGTTGGAGAGACTTGATGTTGTCAATAATACTCTTCTTGTCAATGAAATCGTTTTTAGTAGAACATCTATTTCTGTTCTGACGTTATGGTTCATGTTTATTTGCTGGCTTTTGATATCTTATTTCGCTCCATGGTGTTCATAGTCTCTGATGCAGTTCAATCAACCAACAGTAATTTCTTGTGAAATTATAATAGTATACTCTCTCTGTCCTAAAATTATTATGAGTTTGAAATTTCACTTTTAGTACAATTTGAACTAGAAATGAAAATATAAAACAGTCAATAATTATGAGACGGAGGGAGTATTAATTCCGTATCAGTTATATATAATTCACATGTCCTTACTCTGTGTTGTGAAATTATTTCGTATCAGTTATATGATTTATTTGTCCTTACTATCGATCAATTCATAATAATAAAATTGTATTATTATTTTTTTTTTACTAAAGTTACAAAACCTTTTATTGCTTTATTTTTATTTTTTTTAACTAAAAATTTAATTTAAATGTAAGTCATAAAATCGATTTCCATAATATGCAGTACTCTAGTCTCTATGTGCAACAACATAACTGAACATTGCATACCCTTGAAAGTTTTAGGTATCTTGGGAAAAATTGATCAAAGAAGAAAAAAAGAGGTAAGAATAATTCGGTGTCCCTCCTTGTGCGCAGCTGGACGAGAACGACATTCAGTTGCTGGTGTATTTCATGATATACATGTTCGTCCATCTTCTTGGTTCCCTCCTCTAAGCAATAGCGAAACATGTCAGAAATACTCCTCAAATCCAATCTCTTGTAATTGAATCCAAGTTCCAAAGGATTCCAATTGAGTTTTTTTATGTTAATACCGAAGCCACGGAGCCCTTATCGCCTTTTCCTTCACCCTTAAAAAAGGTTAATTGCATTTCCGGTCGAGACTCTGTTAACTAAATTTAAAACTGCTAAAATGTGATTTATTTTTTATTTTTTATTTTTTATTTTTGGGTAAAATGTGATTTAGATTTCAAGGAATTTAGGAAGGGAGAAAAGAAATCATATAAGGAAAGAAGATGGGGTGGCGAGGTATTTTTCAATTGCCATAAATTGATTTCACTGACACATGTTCATTTAGTGATGGGGAGATGGGGTGATGGGGTGACACATGTTCACTGGCACATGTTTGTTTGGATATAACTCATTTTATATTTTCACTCATTTTACCTCTTAAACATAAAACCCAATGGAAAAGAAAACATCATCTAAACAACTTTCTGATTTACATTTTAAATTACAACTTGAAATACTTTTTGTTAGTGTAATGAGCATTTTAGAAGTACAAATAGTTCAGTGACAAATTTGGCAGGATTTCGTTGTTGAGTGATTGTTTTTGGAAAAGTTCTTTTTTGCAGTGACTATAATTGACAGTATTTAATTGTTTACTGATGACTTGTATTTGATATTTCAAAATGTAGTTCAAAATAGTTTTTTTTTTTTCAAAACCAACATCCAACCAACATTTTTATTTTCCATTTAATTTCAATTTGAAACACTTTCTACTTTTAAGTGGCAAAATGAAATGTAAGTCGACGTCCAAACAAGCACTAACTCATAACACTTCTTAGCCCTGCGGGTTCTAGCCCATTACAGCCATCCCAACGGCCCAACCCATTTTATTTGTCACTTCTCTTTGTTTATTCCGCGGTCCCCAACGTTAGTTGTTTCCCGCCGCTGATCATTTTTCGGAGATCGACTCACCACCTATTCTAAGGTAGATATATCAACTATTTATAATCCGAAATTCGTTGTTTCAAATACTATTTATAATCCGAAATTCGTTGTTTCAAATTTATTTTTGCAATTCTTTGTTACTTTAGATCTAGGGTGTAATTGGATGGTATTAATTTGTTGATTTACATTTAGTGTTGGTTTCCGGCCCCTGCAGCCATGGCGACACAGAGCTGGTTCGTTGAACGGAATATTAAGCTCGCTAAAGATGCAAAAAGCGATTCTGCTCGTATACAGGCTTTGACTCTTATATGGTCCAATTTTCAATACGAGAAACACTTGAAGGTTAAGAGAATGAAAGGTTAAAACGGACCAGTATAACATACCCCCTCTCCCAAAAAAAATAATTTTGTTTTACTTTTTTTTTTTTTTTTTTACTACTAGTAGTACATTAACTAGATAGATTTGATTGATGGTAGAGGTGAAGGTTGCGCGAAAAGCTAGAGACGAAGCAGAAGGAACGAGAGAGCGAGTAAAAGCAGAGATATGTGCTGCCAAAAAAGCTCTTGCTAAACTTCTTCCTGCTGGTGCTGATCTTGTGGATACTGTGTGGCGCAACTTTAGGTAAAGCGCTCAACTTTTGAAGTTTGAACCAACCAATGTTTGGAATTGGCCAATTATGCATGCATTTTGGTTTGTTATGTGTCTTCTTTGCTCCTTAGAAGTACTCTCCCCCATTTACGAAATTATCGTCCAATTTAAATATGAACAATAACTTCATTTTGAACTAAAAATGAAAATTCAAACTGGACAATAATTTTGGGACAGAGGAGTAGTGTTCTTTTATTTTGTAATAATTGCGTGATATTTTCTTCTTCAGCGCTTCAGGGTAACACACATATACGCAGATCCATTTTAATTTAAATAAATGTTCCTAAGGCCTGTTATATTTTCTTGTTTGGCGGGTGCAATGGCCTTACTTTTGTTGCTGCTTTGTAGGGCAACCTAAAGTTAATGATAGGAGTGAAAGTCTGTTAGGGATTTACATCTTATACACATTCTTAGTGTTGTTCATGGCTAGGAAAATAATTTTGGAATTGGTCCGAGTTTAACTGTGAAGAAACCATGTGAGATTTATTTGTGTTAATTTGAACCTTTCTAGACGCAAGGAGCATTATTGTCTAATACGATGATTGTCCTGTCATTCTAAGTGATCTGGTGTTGTCCCCAAGTGATTGGGTTATCATTCTCATTTGCATCATAAGCGCCATTACATTTTTACCAAATCTTCTGATACCTCTCTTTTGCCCTTTTTTTTAGGTCAATCCAAATCTCTGTGATTGGCAAAGGTTCTTCTCAATACACATATCATAACAAGCTACCACGCATCATGCTGCCACGTTGGTCCTTGATCAAAGTAATTAAGCTACTGCACTGGAAATTGAAGCGAAAATGAGATCAATAGCAGAACATAATAAACTTTTATTTAAGCTATGAGCTAATCAAAATCTATTGGAGCTTATGATGCACATGAGAGTAATAATCCAATCATTCATGATCACTAGCCGATTTCCTTTACTCTCCCAGATGTTAAAAAAAAAAAAAAAAAAAAAAAAAAAAAAAGAAGAATCTCAGTTGTTTAGGATAGCACATCTCCTTCACTCTGCCAAATGTTAAAAGAAAACAATACCTATGGAAGAAAGAATACCAGTGGCTTACGAAAGAACGGCAGCAAGCCTGTATAAGATTCTAACAGCAGCCAAAATAAGGCCATTGCACACATGACTGGAGACAGAAAAGAAAATAAGACCAGCCAACCGATCTTAGGAGCAAACTCAGTTCATATACTAGACTATGAGCTAAAACTAACATGTATAGTACCATCTTTTAACGCAGTGAAGTAAATTTAACCTAACCAAGATGAAACTCGCTCTGTTTCGTTGAATTTTTTTATATTTTTTTCATTAATAAATGTCTCATTCCATTCCGACAATATATACTTTTTTTTATATTCTCAATACACATTTTTATATCTTTTTAATAGAAAAAAACACTTAAAACACACAATGAAAAAATGATTCAAACATATAAATATCATCATCCAATAATTTCTCTTCTACTAGTTGTGGGACCGTGCCTTGCCCGGATTGTGGAAATATTTCGCCATAATTAGTGCAGGAAAAAAACTTGATAAAAAGTGAATAATAAAAACACGGTACATATATCTTTAAAATTTTAGGAAAAAAAAAAGATTTCAAACAGTGAGTAAATACGGAAATCTGTAATGGCCAAACATTTTTTCTTTATTATGATTAAATGTGGTAACACATATGTAATATGTTAGAACATATGAAAGGGCACGACATCATTCAACTTTTTGTTATTGATCAGATAATTTGGATAACTTGAATCCACAAGTAGAAGGAGGATCAACCAACTTTGGAATTTTTGAAATCTTAATATTGCGTTTGAACATTACCAATATTTTTGCAATCGGTAAACTTGTATATTAGATCTTCTTAAACTCAGTTACAGTTTTGTTACCCTGCAAAAATAAGAAATACATCGAAAAATAACATTAGATAGCAGTCACATACCTGGAAAAAAAAAGGTGTATGGTCTCGTTTATATATCGCTTAGCAACACGGTCATTGCATCAATTTGCAATACAAAGTTATTGTAGAAAAAAAAAATGAACTACCTTAATCAAAATTACAATTGAGTGACTAATTCACCTTTCAAACTAGACGGAAATTGACTTCGCTTATGCACCAGACTGCTGTCACGGCCTCTAATTTGGGTTATTTATAGTACATAAGATAACTATAGTCGTAGGGTTTAACATGTTATGAGATATTTTTGGTAAATATTTTATATGAGTAATTATATGATTTTGTGGATAGGTTAAAACTTTAGGCTTTACTGATAGAATTTAGAGCAATTAATTAACATATTTGGGGAGTTTGTGAATATGGACGGAATATTATTCTGGTTAATTTACCCATAATTTTTTAAATAAATTTCATTTATTAATTTTCAGATGTGGGAGGGAATTAGGGTGATTAATTTAAATCTCATTTTTTTTGAATTTTAAAATCATATCATGATGTGCCATAAATTTGGAAGTCATATTTGGAAATGATGTTTATTATGCTTTTTTGAAAATTCTGAAAGCGTTTAAAAATGTTTCAAAATCACGGATGATGTGCCATACGTCCGGACCACGTTCAATGTTAACTAATTATTATGTTTTTGATTTACCTTGGTTAATGAAATATATATGAGTAAATAAGTTAAATTAAATAATTATTATTTTTTTTACTATATCTAATTAGACTTAATTTTTATGATTGTTTAATTGGACATCTCATTATGTGACACGTATCCGAAAAATTTATTCTCTTAATATATAGGATTCTACCAAAAAAAATCATTCAACAATAAGAGTAATCGAGATCTCACGTAACAAAAAATTATTAACCGATTAATTTTGATGAAACGGCGGAGATATTGGCAAATTGTGCCAAACCTTAGAAGAAAGTAAAGAGCGGGAATTTGACTTTACCGAAAGATGAAGAACGGCGGAACGAAGATTGATGCAGTAGGGAATGGATTAGGGACTTATAAACAAGTTGAGCGCATTAGCCCTCACAAATGCTTTAGGCAGAGACACGGCCGATTGATCGCTATCACACCTTTGGGATATTTTAGAATTCCCATAAATTTGTAGGGATTGTGTACTTGAGTCGAATCTATATAAAATATGTTTTTTGCTACTTTTGTTTTTCTCTTATTATTATTATTATTATTATTATTATTATTATTATTATTATTATTATTATTATTATTATTATTATTTTTATTTTTATTTTTTTTGGGTACCGAAGGTGAAACTCTGGGAATCGAGAAGTCTAATTTGGCTCAGGCATATTTGATAACTTGAATTATTGCTTAAAATGTGATTTTTAGAATAAGCATGTTTAATAACTAAAAAGTGATCCACTAATTTGATTAAACACTGCTGAAATTACACTACAAATTTTAAGTAATGAAACCTAACTTAATACTTATTACTAATTACTCTCACCATCTTTTTTTTAAATCTATTAGATGCTTGCTCCGGGCGAATGTCCGGGGTGCCGTTTTTACTTTTAAATCGATTAAATAAAAAAATAAATTATCTTTAAAAGAATAAAAAAACTGAAAAATAAAAAATCGATTAAAAGGACATGAACTGAGTTATTACACATAAACCTATGTCGGGGTTTACAACAGTTAATTTACAGCAGTTAACTTATACCCAGATTTACATAACTCATAAACCAATATCTAAAACAGAAGAATAAAAAAAACAAATCATCCTTAAAAAATCAAATTTCTTTCCATGACCGCTTCTTTTTCCTCTGTTGTAGAAAGAGATGAATTGATAATTGATGTTAGATTTTAAGTAGTTGATTTGAAGGCCCGAGTCTGAGAGAGAAGAGGAATGGAAAAGATCATTTGAGATTGAGTGGTAGTGTTGTTTCACTTGATTTAAGGAGATTTTCTGAAATTTGATTTTATCAACTCAATATTATTGTTTTAAAGAGATTACTATATACCTATAATTAATGAATTTTTATGTAGCTATAATTAAGGAATTTATTTATTTATGTATTTCATCCTTTTTTTCTGATTAGTTAGAGTGCCACATGTCAAAAATGATTTTGTACCGAAAAAATTACTTTTGGCGGGAAAATTTTCATTGTGGTGATGACATATGTCCTTTTTGTTTGCTGCTTTAATTAAGTACTATAAATTTATTAGTGAAATCCAACATCACCTATAACCGTCAATATCTTAATGAAATCGAGGCTTGTTGTTTTTTCCATAAAATTTTAAATTTATTCAAACATACACACACACATATAGATATTTTATTTTATTTTTATTTATTTCCAAAGACATAACAATTCAATACTTTATAGTTTTACTTTTTCAATATATTAAGAAAAATGAAATATACATTTATGTTTGCTATTTTACAATGTAGAATAATTTAATAGTATGTATTTTATGAATAATAATGAATATAATTATCGTATAGTTGGATAAAAGTATTTTAAAATAAAGAGATCTTTAAAAAAAATATAAAAAGGTAAAAGAAAACATTCACACAATTCATCATTCATATCAGTATTATTTTTTTTATCAAACAAGAATGTTTCATTAAGCATTTTGTTTTAGACATCATAAAATGTGTGAATTTCTTTTCCTTTTTTTTTGTTATGGATGAAAATATAATTTTGTCTAAAAGTAGAGGATGCTTTGGGAAGTTTACTCTTTCAATTATAAAAAATCCAAAATAACTCTATGAAACCCTTCATTTTTGACACTTAACTGAGATAAAATGGTGAAAATGGATAGTAGTGGGCCAATTGAGCTAAAATAAACTGAAAATGAAAAAAATATCTCGAGCCAAAGCTTTAAAATTTGGGTCAATTGAAAACAAAGAAGTCGAAACAAGTATTAGTTGTTTGGAGCAAAATTGATAAATTAGAAAATATTGGTAAAAGTAATTTTTATTTTTTGAAAATAATAAAAAAATCAAACTTCGCAGGGGCATTGGCTGGAAATCATAGTTTTTGTTTGGATCGGGAAAATTGGATGATTTTGGAACCAAAAAAAAAAACATTTAGGGTGATTTTTTTTCAAAAAAAATAGGGACGGAAATTGAATATGTGAATATTTTAATATAGAAGCGGAGAGTCCACCTTTGCAGTTTTATTTGAGGATAAAAGTTATTTTCTATTTTAGTTAAGTTACGTGTATTGAAATGAATTTTATTTGAGTTACTTGGAGTGACACTTCTATAATTTACAATTATTATGTAATTGAAGATTTCTTTTTATTGTAGCAATTCACCCATCAATGGACATATAGTTTCTAATAATTTCAGATGTTAGTAGGAATGCAATAACAGATGTATGATCTAAATTGTTGGACGGAATTTTAAATATGAAAACCTTAGAAATATCTAGCAATGTAAAATTTTTTGAAAGAAAACAAAAAAAATAAAAGGCTGAAACTTTTTATTAGTTTTATTAACTTTTTTGGAGTACTAAGCTTTTCAATAGAGTTTACAAGATTCGAGGGGACAATTGGTCATTTCCATTAAAATTAGGGGAGCTGATGCAATTCTCCAAGAAAGCACATAGACGTCGTAAGACTCGCAACTGCCAAACCGCCTTATTCTTCAGTTCAACCTTTCATATCAAACACCGTCGCCTCTTCCGCCATCCGCCACCCCCACCTACGGCCCACCTCCACCAGCTATCCGTATTTCCTGCCCTGCGGCCAACCTGAAATTAAACTATAAAATCGTGTCCGTTCAAAACCTTTATCGCTCTTAACTGTGCCCCATTCTTCGCCGCTGCTTGCTTGATTCTCTCTTCTAGGGATCCGATAGCCGTTTCGCCTTCTCTTCATTGCAGCGACTGTTTCTCTCAGCTCGAAGCCAGTAGCTTCAGCTCACGTTCAGCTGCCGTATTGACATCTGGTTAGTGGTGCTTTTCGACAAATGATTTTATTTAATTTGTGCATACTAACAAGCATTGTACCCTAATTTGTTGCATAGAATCCGAATTCCGTAAACTTTATCTACTATGTTCGTCAATTGCCATTACCGACGGATTTTATTGATATTTTTTAGTTTATATTATACAGCTCTTGCGCTTTGTTATCCAAGCTAATTATCCTGTACCCCCAATTTAGTTAGAGAACACATAATTTAAGAATGAATAGGGATCCTTAAATGATACTAATAGAGCTAGGGCTTGTTTTTTAATTTTGGGGACTGGTTTCAGGGGCATCCCAAGATACCACCCTTCCCATTTGATCCCTGATTATTCGTTCATACAGTTGTTTTGTTGGATTTGTGTGTTCAACTGATGTTCTCGTTTCGTAAGTATTTCTGAAAATTCAACTGACCGCATTTTTGGCAGGTGTCTAAGTGTCTGAAGGCTGTAGTTTAGCCATGATTTACACAGCCATTGACACGTTTTACCTATCAGATGAGGAGTTAGAGAATTCCCCTTCTAGGAAGGATGGGATTGACAGTGCTACAGAAACTACATTAAGAATCTACGGATGCGATTTGATCCAGGAGAGCGGAATTCTCCTTAGATTGTATCCTTTTCTTCACAATTTTTCTGTTTTTCTTTTTTGGTGCGTTGTTTATGTACTTTTCTTAAGGTAAAATATTAAAAGAAGACAGCATGGGAGCATCCTTATATGTTGTTGCAGCCTCGCAACATAATTATAGCCATGCAGGATACTGAAATCTCATACTACAATAGCTCCTTGGTCAATGAGAAATTGTTTTCCTTCACAGAATATCTCTTAGACCTCAAGCTGTCATGGCCACTGGACAAGTCTTATTTCATCGATTTTATTGCAAAAAATCATTTGCTCGTTTTAATGTGAAGGTATCATTTTGTGTTCTTTTACCTTTTCTTCCTAGTTTTATACTAGTAAATGGACAACAATGTTGGTTATGTTTGAGATGATGTCCTTTTTTCTCCCTAGAGAGTTGCTGCAAGCTGTGTCTGGCTTGCGTCAAAGCTTGAAGAAAGTCCTAGAAAGGCTAGACAAGTTATTCTTGTTTTCCATCGTATGGAATGTAGAAGGGAAAACCTACCAATTGAACATCTGGATACCTCTGTGAAGGTCAGACTTTATTGCTTATTTTCATGTGTATGTTATATTGATGATCATGTATTTAACCGTTACTAAATTGAATGATTTCTGTCTGACTTGGTTCTTTTTTCTGTCTTTGTTGACTCTGTTGTTCCTTTCTGCTACGGAGACAGAAATATGTCGATTTGAAGTCTGATTTGGTCAGAACAGAGAGACACCTACTAAAAGAAATGGGCTTCATCTGCCATGTGGAGCACCCGCATAAATTCATATCTAATTACCTGGCAACACTTGAAACACCAGCTGAACTAAGACAGGAAGCATGGAATCTTGCAAATGACAGGTAAGTTACGTGAAAAGTGAATACATTCTCGATGCCTAGATGGTGCTTATTTCAAGAGAATTGCTACTTGCTTGATTGAAGAATGTCAATCTATTGAATTGTTATATTTCTCAATTGAAATAGGGGGTAGTTTTAGGCCTAAGCTGTGTTGTTCCTTGTTCCTATGTATACACTCAAATCAATCAGAACCTCTACTCCTGATGACATCAAAGCTTTGTTCTTTTTTGTATGCTTTTGCATGTTTATAATGGTTGCTCTTGCTTAAGTGTATCATTTTTTATTTATTTATTTGTATTTTTCTGCTGAACTTAATGTGAAACTCAATTACCTTGAGTGCACAAGAGTATCTGTCACACTCATCTGTATGCGGTTATGGGGATGATCAAGAGCACAAGAGTAACTGTCTCGTTTCGGAAGGGGGGAAGTTACGGAGGAGTTATAAATCTTCATAGTTTGGGAATTTTTAATCTCTCTTGCCTATGGCATATATAATTCGGGATTGATCGAATTTGGCACTGTTCCTGAAACTTCTGTGTATATTATTAGTTCTCTTCTGATGTCTTTTCTCCATGTCTTGCGCATCCCTTGAGCAGCTTGCGTACTACTTTGTGTGTGAGATTTAAAAGTGAGGTGGTAGCTTGCGGAGTTGTGTATGCAGCGGCTCGTCGATTTCAAGTACCCTTTCCTGAGAATCCTCCTTGGTGGAAGGTATTTGATGCTGACAAGTCTGGGATTGATGAAGTTTGTAGAGTACTTGCCCAGCTGTATAGTCTTCCTAAGGCGCAGTACATTCCTGTGTGCAAAGAAGGAGGTTCATTTGCTACATCCAACAAATCATTGGATACATTGGCTCAGGCGCCAAAGGTGAACTGACTTGTTGCATTTGATTTTTATCATGCTGTCACATCCATTCCAGTTGATGGTTTTGTCAAACACGAAAACTTAGATTTTTTGGTTTTGTCTTTGCTAAATGCAGGAAGGATCTTTGACTATCCCTCCGACAGATGAAAATAGTAAAAGTCCAAAGGCTCCATCTACTGGAGGGACCCAAGAATCAGGAAAAGATGTGCCTTTACAAGATGCTGTAGAGAAATTGAAGGACTCCAAGAAACTTAACGACTCTGGAAGTGTGGCTCCTTTGAGTGAATCAAGAGATGAACCTCATTCAAAATCAGTACCTGAATACAGAGCCAAGGCAGGCAATGGAAGAGACGAAGATAGGGAAAGGGAAAGGAGAAAAGAAAGGGAAAGGGCAAGGGCTCGGAGCAAGGACAGGGTGCCATCTCGGAATCGTGAAAGAGGAAGGGATTCTGATCGGGATTTGGAAAGAGATGAGATCGACAGAAACAGGGAAAGCAATGATAGGGGTCATCGTTCGAGGAGTAAAGGTTGGAATTCGATGTTATTTGCGGATTTCTTCTTTTTCATTCTTCTTTCTACTTTCGTCTTTTGAAGAATTGCCACTAAAAAAAATTCTTCGAGCTTACCATTTGATGTGTTTCACCTCTCTGCAGGACATGGTGAGAGATCAAAGCATCATACTTCTCGAGGTAATTAAGTCATTATTTAGTTTTTGTGTTGAATGCTTATTTTTCAAAGAACACACCAACCAATTTGGGCATGTTCTTTTTTCTTGTAGATCGTGAGTATTACAGTCATTCAACAAAGGAGACAGATCGGCGTCGGCTTCGTTCATAGGCGTAGAGCAACCTGTGCCGGCGGTGAAGAGGCTCTGGCTGCATTAGGAGCTCGTTGCCCTTTTGTGATACGTGGAGTTGAGACTCCATGAATTTGGTAGGAATGGAAGTAGGAACCCCTAGAGTTGTAACAACTCTTTCAGCGGACAATGTATCCGTAATATGATGAGGAAGGGGAGTATCTTGGAATTGGCAATTCCACGTAAAAAATGATGATAATTCGTCAAGTGCGTGATTAACTGTGCAGTATAACTAATGAGAGGTGACCCGATAGCCATTGATAAATGTTTGAAACCCATAAGACACGACTGTTTATTGTAGTTACAAATAGCTTGATATTTTCTAAGTTTACATAGTTTAATCAAGATTCTATCGACTGTACCCTGTTCAAAGTATACCATACAAATGGAAATCAAAGTTGGGATTGCTATCTTCTGGGCTGGATCCTGCAAGGCAAAGTATATGTCATGGAACAAGTGGAGTTACGATTAAGTGGTGTTAATTGTTTGCATATTAGAAGAGAGTGCAGATATGGTGCATGTTTACTCAATCGTACGGAGTATTATATTTGTGAAATGAAATTGATTCGTTTGTGTTACGTTTACTATAAATGAATGTTTGTATATATAGTCACAAAATTTTTGGGGAATCATTTAGAGGCTGTTTGTATATTAAAGACCAGAGGGAGTATTTCGCAATCATCAATTTTAATAATCAACGTAATAAGAGATCCCTCAAAAGTGCTATCCGTTACTCTACTGGAGAATTTTCATTATAGTATAATGCTGCAGATAAGGTTACAGGAATCTTTTTTATAAGACATCGTTCCTACTTATCACCAAACGCTCATTATGAATCCTATTAACCCGATTAGAAAACCAAAGTTGACTTTTTCTTATTTTTTTTTTCCAAAAAAAATACTAAAGTACTTGGTGGTTAATATGTCTAGTTGGAATCTGATTACTTTTTTTAACGTGGCAATTTGGCTCTGCAAACTGACCATTTATGCATTGTATTCATTTAATTAATATAAATTAAACAGGAGAATATTAAGTTGGTGCCGATACATCTTTGGAACGAGTTTCGGCTTAATTTGATTTGTCACTCACACGGTCACACCTAAAAGTAGTTATTAGACAAATTAGAGTACTAGACCACACAATTGCATACGAAAAGAGAAATATTACTAATATATAATTGCTTGGACCGAGATGGATTAAAACAAATTCCATCATTCTTTTACTCGGCACGAAAGAAACTTCATGGAGTGATTTCAACATTCCTTTTTCTTGTACGCAATAAGAGCTCAAGTTCAACGTTGCATATTGAAACAGGACAACAACAAAACCGACACAAAAAAAAAAAAGTCAAAATGATCTTGAATAATAAGAAGAACAAAGAAAAAAGAAACGATGTGGGATAAAAATGGAACTTTGTTGTTGCAAAGTCTTATTATTGAAATGTGATAGTGATAAAAATGGAACTGTTAATTATATACATTTATAACAATCAAATTTTTTAAAATTGAGAAAATAGTTATCTGTTTCATAATAATAGTGATCGGGATTTAGAATATGAAAGTGATAATTTGTTATAGGGGGATGATAGGGTAAATAAAATGCAAATAAAACCGACAAATTATTGCCTTGCTAAAAACTAGTAATGCTGGTCTTAATAAGTTCTTAAATCTAACAAATAATTCAGTGCAGCACCCACACGTCATCATTTGTTTTCAATTTTTCTCTTTCGTCCCTTTCTACACACAGTCACACACTCTTTCTCTCTCTCTCTCTCTGCGGAAAAGCCTTCGCCTCCCTCCTCCCTAAAAATGTGAGAATGCTTCAGTGAATTTTGAGTCAAATTTCACCGGAGCTTAGTTTTTAAGTTCATTTCCTTGACTACTTTCTCTCTCTACAAAACGGAGAACAAATTCAACTCTCGCTCACTTCCGGTGACATTCGGTGGAAGCATCCGTTGAAATCACCGTGTGAAATCTCCTAGCGCGATCTCGAATTCGTCGGTAATGTTATGTCGAATTTTATTTCTTCTTCTCGTTTTTCTCTTTTAGCTTTGTTCTTAATTGTTGACGTTGCGTTTTTAGCTTCGACGGGAGTTTCATTCTTTTGCTCAATTGTTGCTCGGTCTATGTTTGCTGACTTTGCGAGCTGGAAGCCTGCTGCAACCAGGAAATCTCAACTCTCTATCATGCATTTTCCTTCAATTGAAGTGTGAACCTAGGTGAGTTCGAAGGTTTCATTACCCGCTCTGTTTCTGTTTTTGGATTTTTTTTGTCACTCTGATTCCTTCGTGCCTCGAATTATGATGTTACAAAATTATTGCCGACACTGTTCCAAACCGAGCTAGTTTGTCTAGATTTGGATGTTGATTTAATTATAACTACTTCTTTCTCTGACTGTTGGACTGCTAATTGCTGGATACTCTGGAATTTAATTTGTAACAGAAGCACAAAAGAATCAATGGTTTGAGTACTTACAGTAGGTTTATTTTCTTTCGACTTTCTATAAGCTTTGGATTTTCTTAGTAGAGATGGAATCAAGATCGGTTAATTGTTTTGTTCTTCTTTTTAACCAATGGACAAGCACATCTACTTTCATTTAATTGTCTAAAATGCAAGTAAGTTTAACTTGATTTTTTAAGACATTCAGTAAAATTGCAAGTGCCTGAGAGGCTCCAATTGCAGTTTCTAGCTTTATCTGCCTTTGACTGGTAACTTTAGCTATTTTAACGGATATGTTGTGGTTAATTAGGCTGAAACTAATGCAAGTTATGCTTTCCGAAGACTTTGGAAGTATTTGTTTCAGTTGAATGTGAATTTTAATGGAGGAAACAAGTGGAAAAGCATCATCATTTAGGCCTACATTATCTGGAAAGTCAACTCCAAGAGGTTCCCCTTCATTCAGGAGACTGGCTTCTGGAAGAACTCCACGTAGAGAGGGTAAAAGTGGTGGGTTTAATGCACAATGGGTCAGAAACAACAGGATTGTTCTTTGGTTGCTTTTGATCACTCTTTGGGCTTATGGTGGATTTTACGTCCAGTCTAGATGGGCTCATGGGGACAACAAGGAAGGCATTTTTGGTGGAAATGAGAGTGATGAAAACTCTGAACTTTTTCAAAAGGATGAAATTATTGAGCTTAAGCCACCGGAGCGGAGAGATCTTACAGAGGCTGATGACTATTTGGCAACTATATCAAGAGTGCCTAAAAATGAGTCCATTTCCAGAAACTCTGATATGAAACTAACCAACAATGGAATTGCTAATAAAACCAGTCAGAATGTATCTCCCAAGAAGAAGGGAAAGAGATCGAGTCGCGGTACACGTAAGAAATCTCGTGCTAAGCAGAAAGTGATGGTGAAATCTGAGGACACTGAAGTTGATACACCGGAAGAGGAACTACCTTCAACTAATACTACTTACCGTATGCTATTAGGACCATTTGGCTCACTAGAAGACAACATATTGGAATGGAGCCCTGAGAAGCGGTCTGGAACCTGTGACCGGAAGGGTCAGTTTGCTCGTCTGGTTTGGTCAAGAAAGTTTGTGCTGATATTTCATGAGCTATCAATGACTGGAGCTCCCCTTGCGATGATGGAGTTGGCTACAGAGCTCTTGAGCTGTGGTGCAACAGTTAATGTGGTGTTACTTAGCAAAAGGGGGGGATTGATGCAAGAGCTTGCTAGAAGAAAAATCAAAGTACTCGAGGACAAATTGGATGTTAGTTTCAAAACTGCTATGAAAGCAGATCTCATTATTGCAGGGTCGGCAGTTTCTGCATCGTGGATTGGTCAGTACCTTTTTCCTGTTATAATATAATCTTTGACACGATTGTTCTTCTTTTGCCTATTTGGTCTATTCATGTTTCTATCATTTGCTTGAAATTCTCAGATTAAACATATGATTGATGACTCTTGCCATTTGTTTCAGAAAAATACAAAGAACATACTGTGCTTGGTTCAAGTCAAATTGCTTGGTGGATCATGGAAAACAGAAGGGAGTACTTTGATCGTGCAAAGCTTGCCCTTGCTTATGTAAAAAGGCTAGTTTTCCTCTCAGAGTCACAGTCTAAGCAGTGGCTTGCCTGGTGTGAGGAAGAAAATATCAAGTTGAAGTCTGCACCTGAACTGATTCCACTTTCTGTTAATGATGAATTGGCTTTTGTGGCTGGTATTCCTTGTTCTCTGAATACTCCAGCCTCTAGCACTGAGAAGATGTTGGAGAAGAGGCAGTTACTGAGAACTGCAGTTAGGAAAGAGATGGGATTGACTGATAATGACATGCTTGTGGTATCTTTAAGTAGTATCAACCCTGGGAAAGGTCAATTTTTGCTACTTGAATCAGCACGCATACTGTTTGAAAGTGGACTGCCTTCCAACAGTTCTGTTATAAAGAGTTCAGAAAAGAAAAGCCAAAATTTCAGGGGAAGGGTGTTACTTCAGAAGGGACGTTCCAAAAGAAAACTTAGAAAAGGAACTCTTCGAAAACAGGAGACCATTAAGGCTCATGGTAATGGTACCACGGGGCATTTATTGGCTGAGAGAGAGAAAAAGCCGGCCCAGAAGCTTAAGGTTCTTATTGGTTCAGTTGGTTCCAAAAGTAATAAGGTGCCCTATGTCAAGTTACTCCTCAAACTTCTGTCTGAGCACCAAAATATGTCTAACTCAGTATTATGGACACCAGCAACTACACGCGTTGCATCCCTCTATGCAGCTGCTGACGTTTATGTGATGAATGCACAGGTAAAACATTTCTCTAATGCATCTTGTTTCATTTTCTGATTTCCTTTGTCCAAAATGAATTCATTGGCTTTGTGTTGATAGCATACTAGTGTACTCTGATTGCACTACGAAGTTGTGAATTCTATGCTTATGATGTCATCTCAAGTTAGCTTTATCTTTGATATATTGTAAAAATATGTGCAGGGCCTTGGAGAAACTTTTGGAAGAGTAACAATTGAAGCAATGGCTTTTGGTCTTCCTGTATGAACCCATCTTTACTTGTACTTTTTACTTTTCCTTCTATACAGTTTAAATATCATTCCCTTCATCAAATAATGGAAATCCACTTTTACTTTGACACTTGATGTTAACAGAACACATATTCCCCCCATTCAAGATTGAACGAGAACTGTTAAAATCCTTCAGAAAGAGAAATCCTGATATCTTGTGCTACTATTTTTCTGAGCAGGTGCTAGGAACTGATGCTGGAGGCACAAAGGAGATTGTTGAACACAATGTAACAGGCCTTCTCCATCCGTTGGGGCGTCCCGGGGCTCAAGTTCTGGCAAAAGATATTCAATATTTCCTTCAGAATCCGTCAGCAAGAGAACGCATGGGAGCTGAAGGAAGAAAGAAAGTGGAAAAGATGTACTTGAAGAAACACATGTACAAGAAATTTGGAGAGGTCCTGTACAACTGCATGAGATTGAAATAACTGATTTTGCGTGACATTCGATTTCTTGCGCCTCAACGCGAGTTACGGTATTGATTGTATCGTTTTTCCTCAGTGGCCAAGTTTTCCATTTCTGATTTCGCTTAAGAGGTGGAACTGCTCCAAGAGCAGGTGCCGGCCTTAGAACATCTTTACCGAAAATCAAATATCCCCAACATGACCAAAATCTTTTTCATTGCTTATGTCCCTCAATCTCAAGTAAATGCTAATGGGACTGCTGTGGTGATGATGCCGCTGTCCACAATGAACAGGAGTACGAGAGTCTTGGATTGATTTCAGGCTACATCAGCTACATTAACCTTGTATCCTGTAACAAGGAAAACTAGTAGGTCACTGTTTCTCTGTAAAATGAAACGTTATATTCAATTCAGTGGAAGGTGTTGAACTGATGATCAATTACTATCGTGGAATGGAGAGTGTTGTTCACAGAAAATGAAATGACTAGAATTTCCATATCATATTTCTTTAACCCAAAATTTCAATTCCCCTTTTCCCCTGCTTATCTGTAACTTGCTAACGAACCAAAAAGTTATAAGCATCTACATCACTGGACACATGAAATGAGCAAAAACTTCGTTGTCACTTCCTCAAGAAAAAGATCTCACTGTCAAAGAAAGAAGCCAAAACTACCAAGCTATTATGTACAAGTAAAAACTTGGTGTCAAAAAAGCAAATCTCTACTTTACATCTCAGGCAGGCTATCACCGGCCAGGGATTCTTAACCCTTAATCTTGCATTATCGATTTGTCACATTTCAAGACAGCTGCCTGACTGAACATGGCCGGAAAAAATCTCCGGCATCTCGAGTTTTGTCCAGGTGTAACGTTTTAAATCCAACATGTACACTTGGTGGGGCTCGGAGAATCTTGGCGAACCAATCACAAGTAGATTCCCCCGACTAGTAGCTGTCACATATGCAATGTTCCTCACATCATTTGGAAGCTGCGCCAAAGCTTGCCACTTGGCATTCTTGACTTCTAACACGTCAGCATCCCTACACATAAGCAGTCTTCCATCTGGAGCGACACTCGTACAAGTCCTAGGACACGTGGAAGCTTCCAAGAAGTCATCTTCAAAGGGGTCCCATTTCCATGTAGTCACATCAAAAGCCTCTGCACTGGCACTGAATCTGCCTTGCATATTTGTCGAGTATCCACCGATGACGTGGAACTTGCCATTGTGGAAAACCCCTTTTGACTCGTCACGTTCACATGCCATGTCAGGCAATTCCACCCAATGATCATTTTCCACGTCATAAGCCAATGCTGACCTCAGCGCATTTTTCTCATCATCGTGGCCGCCGGCCACAAACACCGTTCGATCAGAATCCGACGCACAAGAAAAGAAGGATCTTTTGCAGCCCGGCATATCAGCCCCACGCTTCCACGTAGCAGTGAGAAAACTAAAGACAAAAACCGAATTAGAAACCTCCCAAGAAACTGGGTCCAATCCGCCCATCAAAACTAAATTCAACCCGACGCCAACAAGCTGGCAGAACATCGGCAACCCGTCTGCAAATCCGGGTACCGGCGGCAATTCCGTCCAATGACCCGTCTCCGGTTCAAATATAGCAAGCCTGTAAGCCGGGGTGGCATGAACTTTCAGGGTAGATCCTGCTTTACTTCCGGTGGAGTTAACCCGAGCTTGAGACAGGACAATGACATTTCTGGTAAAGCCGGCGGCTTTCCGTTGGTTCATAAACTCCGGCAGCTGAATCTCAAGATTCCAACTCTTGCAAACGGATCCAACAGTTGGGAAATGATCATAAGGGACACGAACCAGACATTCGAATCCGATATCAGAAGGAAGATTAGGAAAAAGCTCCATATATAATAATAAAGGGATCTCTGTTTGATAGTTGTTTTTTTGGTCGCTGATCAAATAGAACTAAACAGAGGTTTTAGAGAGAAAGAGGTGGTAACTGTGATTGAATTGTGTTTCTGTTCACGGAAACAAGCTTTTATACAGAGTGGAAAGTGAAGTGGATAACTAATCAAATCTTCACGTAGATGCAAATTAAAAAAAAAAAAAAAAAAGGAATTGACAATAACCAATAATAGAGGAAATGAAAGGGAAAGGAAGAGTAGAGTTAAAGTCTTCTAGAAGAAAGGAGGAGGAGGAGATCAAATCGAATGATGAAAAGGGCACTATTACTGTTGTTTGATTGTGGGGGGATTAGTCATTTTATAGACAAGAGAAAGTGCAATGTGATGCTTCTGGTTTTGTGTGGGGAGAGAGAGAGAGAGAAGAGAGAAACTGATTAAAGAAAACAGGGGAAGTGGGCTTTCTTCTAGAAGGAAAATGACCCCATAGCAGCTGCTGCTAATCAAGCAAACCTTTTCAGAGGGATCATAATCAGAATTAACCCGCGGTTAACAAATTAGTTACATTTAATAATGCAAATATTGATTAAACCCCACAGGGCACACGGGACATTGGAGACCCACTGGATTCTTCCTTTTTAATTATTTTTTCCTTTTTTGGAGTACTCTTTATATAAGGAAGATGTATGAGAAGAAAATAAATATTTGAAAAACAATAAAAAAAATAAATGAGAGATGGATTGAAGGATTATATTGTGACTGACCAAATATAAAGACTGAGATAGAAGCCATATTTATAGGCCTTCTACACATGATAATTAACATATTTTCACTACTAGATAATAATAAAAAATTAAAATTATCAACTAATCAACATTTATCATTCCAACCCTTATCTATATCCCTAACTCATAAGGTAAACAAGGATTCTTCTTCTTGATGATCTCCTCTTCATGATGATTTCCTTTAACATTCTCCCTCAAACTGAGTCTCAAACTGAGTCTCAAACTGAGACTCAGTTTGTTTCTTGGATGATTCTGACCACGCGTTGGACTACTGTTCCTGATACATGAATGGTGAAAATGCAAATGATGTAATGCGTGTTTTTGAGTGGAGTGCTCAAACTTTTTATTGTTAGAAATTGTTAAGAAATGAGATGTATCGATTCTCACTGTTGTGTTAGATTGTTGCATGACAAATCCAATCTCTTCTTCTGAGAGGAGATCGAACGTTTGTTATGATGTGGATTTTTGTAGATAGAGATATTTTCTCTTTGTCATCTACATTTTTTTTCTTTTGTCAACCACATAATTTTTGTGATCGACATGAGACTTGTATTTGATAAGAAGTGGTGGTGATTGAGGGTAAGTTGATTGTTTATGTTGCCTAAAACTGGCTTTGAGTGAATCTAAGAGGGAAGACACTGGTAATGAAGTGAGGCTGGGTAATGATTTTTAGTAATGGTCATGGTGGTGATAGGGAGTAATTTTGACGAGGACTCAGTAATCTTGATTGGTTGATTTGAGATATCGAAAGACATAGAACATAGATGCGAATAGAAGACTAATGGTTTATTTCTTGAAAGAAAAAATAAGCGGAAGCATGGCACAGAAGCAGGGCGGAACCTGCTCTGATACCAAGAAGAAAATAGGTATTTGAAAAACAATAAAAAAATAAATGAGAGATGGATTGAAGGGCTACATTGTAACTGATCGAATAAAAAGACTGAGATAGAAACCATATTTATAGGCCTTCTACACATGATAATTAACATATTTTTACTACTAGATAATAATAAAAAGACTAAAGTTATCAATTACTCAACATTTATCATTCCAACCCTTAGCTATATCCCTAACTCATAAGGTAAACAAGGATTCCTCTTCTTGATGATCTCCTCTTCATAATGATTATCTTTAACAGTATGCCTATGGATTTAGTCCTTGTGGTTACAAAATTAATATTGGATTAATATAATTATTATCTTGTTTGAAGATCGTATGAATATGTAATTTATTATAGGATATATTTATCTCTTGAAAAGAAGTTATTGGATTCGAATTTGGATAAGTTAAAGTGAATTTGAAATTATGTTTATTATGTGTTGTATAAAACCAAAATGAGGTGTAAACGTAATTATAAATGGGGGACATGGATCATTGTTTTAGGGTCATCCATGTGACAAGAGAAGTGATAAAATAAAATTAAGTGTAGAATGGTCAACTGAAGCTAGCTAATTGTGGTCTGTTTTTGGCAGTAAATAGTGTTTCCATTTGGATAAGTTTGCGTTTCGTGTGATGTTTGTTATGAAAAGGATGGCTTTAGGTCTTAAATACTAATTAACTTCGATGGTTACGGTTTTCCATTTGGAAAAAAAAAAAAAAAGGTTATGGGCATTTGTCATAGAATTAAAAACGAAAAATGGCCGGAGGAATACTAATACTAAAATAAAAGTTATGGACAAAAGGAATTTCATGAAGCTGTGGGTACCCGGAAGGTGGGATTTTTTTCTTCTTCTTCTGGCCAACAGGAAACAAAGAAAATAAATTTATAGTCACTTTAATCAAACCCAAAGAATCCAGTGCCAACCTGCAAAGGGTTGTTATTGTCTCCAATGAGCTAACGAACGAGGTATAATTGATAAACTCAAATTATGGATTGAAATATTTAATAACGTATTGAATTTTTTCAACATTCTAGGAAGGATAATACAAAAGTATTACATAAAAGAAAAATCTAAATGCTCTCGGACTCATAGCAAAAATATTAAATAGGAGTACACACAAAATTTGTGGCGTTCATAGGATGAGATTTTAAGATTCTTGAGGACAATATTAGATATTCTGACCATGTGTATGTGGACGTGGAGTACACGACAATCCGAATCATATGCTTGCATGTTTGATGGTCCCTCTTTTTTTCTTCTTCCTTCCTCTCTTGTAATTTTTTTTTTAAAAAAAAATTACAAGATTTTTTCTTTTTTTTTTGGGAGAAAAAATAATAATTTGAAGGGCATGCGAAATGCGAGGCATGATTTATTGGATTTGATTAAAATTAAATTAATAAAAAGGGTTTAAAGTGGATGTCTCCGAAGGGACGTTTAGGTTTGAGGTTACACGGCGGGGCTTTTGCCTTTTCTTTTTTCTTTTTTCTTTTTTTTTTGTTAGTAGCACAACACGGACTTGAAAAAAAGTGAAAGAACCAAATCGGTCAATACAGTGTGGACTTGTTTGTGACCGTAGTCAAACGTTCCCCGGAGGACTTCTCACTCGCCGGATTTTTCTATTTAAGTAGTATTCCTTTATGAACTCTTTCCCCCACTTTTACTAGTTTGAAACGAAACCAAAGCTTCATTGAGAAAGACAGATTAGCGAGTGCGTTACGAAATGTTTGACTTTGATTTGATTACTTTTTAGGTTTTTAGCAACATTTTTTTTTTTAGAAACACAAAACCTGTCAACTTTTTCGAAGTTTTTCTCTTTTATCGTTTATTATACTGTTGATGTCCGAATTACTTCCTTTTCATATTTAACTACTTGTAGCGATTCTACACAAATTATAAACAAACAAAAAAAAATAAAAATACTAGTAATAATTAGAAGTGTGTCCAGACCAAAAGTGCCACATTTTTCTATAGGAGGAGGAGTATTAGTTTCACCGACTATGTACGCTGAGCAAGCAAGCGTCGGTACGAACCTCAGCCATGGAGTCCGAGCTGTCTTTCTCGTACCACTACTAACTCCGTTACTCGTACCGTCCGATCCACTCTGTTCAGTTTCTTCTTCTAGAAACATTTCCTGATTCTAGTGGGAGTCGACAAGCCTACATGGAATAATTGCTGCCACGTCTGAAATTGCGTTATAGTAACTTTACAATCATCACACTTGTTTTTATTTGGACGTCTCACTATGTCTATTTTGCATTTCTTTCTGATGCATCTAATTGTGCTATATTTGATTATTTTCTTTCACATAAGAAATAGAAAAGAGTCCTTTTTACCCCCATAACAATAACAATCTCTTTGTTCCAAAAAAAAAAAAAAAAACTAATAATCCATGTTGAGGTTTAAAATTTCTATTAATTTTGATACAAATTTCAAAACTTAACGTAAACTATTTTTCTGAAGCAGAAAGAGTAATAAATAACAGCGAATTCCCAGTAGAAATTATAGAGCCACTCTCTCTATATATATATACAATTATACATTGAATAATTTAAGTGGCTTCCATTTATGGGGTTCAAATGGTTTGGCACCGTGAATCACACAAAATGTTACCAAAGGGCCGGCCGTCCACCACCAACAATTTGGCAAATCTGTGGGTTTTGAGGCGCACTTGATCAATGGGGAATGAGACGGCGCGCGGGTCCAATGAATCCTGATACTGCATTTTAAGTACAAAATATGGGTCGGAAGACCGTTACGGTGAAGTGTCTCCGCCGTAACTCGTAAAGTAAGGCCACTGATAACGATCGATCACATGGAAGAAAATGTATGTACATATACGTGATCGTCACGCTTTTTTTGCTATATTAGGGAACCTTGTTTCAACTTGCACTTGGTCACATCATTGGCCATTTCTTTTATTTATGTATTTATACTTTTGGGTGCATTGCCCCTGCCCAATATGAATATATGATTGTAAACATAAATCAATGCAGAGTTGAAGACTATATATATGTACATCATGGAAAGACGGTTTTCTAATGCAATAACGTTGTATTTCCTCCTATCATGAGAAATTGTGTCCAACAACACATTGTCGTATTAGAAAACATAGATAAAATTATCAGTTAAAAAAAAAAGATAGATTGTGCACATTTTAGACAGAGTATATAACGCATATTTCATATTGCTACGAATAAAATTTACAGTAATTTTTTATGCCACTTTTCATTCATTGACTATATATGGTAGCTAACTTTTTATCTTCTCTCTCTAAGAAAAAACTCTCAAATTTTTCTTTCCTTTTCCCCCATCCTCCATTAATAGTGGATGGGAGATCTCATAAATTTTAGTTTTCTTTCTTTTTTTGCCATTTGGTATGCTCTTCTTTATGGAAGTTTTAGCTCCCTATTATTGGTAGGTTTTGCTCTTCCTTCATGGAAGTCCGGATGCCTCATTTTGAGACTTTCGGTTCTCCTTTGGGGGCTTTTTTTCTTTTGTGTATGGTGTGGTAGTTTTCAACAGATCTGAAGATGACGAAGGAGATCTATAACTCATTGAAGAAGACAATAATAAACATATGGTTTAAAGGGTAGCAAATGACTGGAAGACTTTAGATTTGAGACTTCTAAGCATTATAGATCTGTGTTTGAGAGCTAGATCTGCAGTTTTAGTCTTATTAGATCATAGTTGAAGTTCATTTGTTAGAATATTGGTTCTCTTTGTATTTTCTTCTTGTGCTATGTCCTTTCTGTATTCAGTGATGTTGATTCAGTCTTACCAAATTAGCTAGCCT